CTTTTGTGGAGCGATGGGTAACGGTGCTTCGAGGATGACTGTTGTCGATGTGTGCAGAGGGTCCCTGGTTCAAGCCCAGGTTGGGGCGAGGAGAGGGTTGGTTGGAAGTAACACTGTTACACTAGGTTATTGTTATCTATGCGCTGTTGAATATTGGTGTTTTACCAGAATAAAAGTAAGCTACCGGAGACAACTCTCATCTGACTAGGCTACCTGCTGAACAGGGCTTACAATATATTTTATTTTGATTGTTCAGGTTCATCATCAGCAATAGTTTTGGTAGTTTTGCTTTAAACAATCAGTGTACAAAACATTAGGAACACCTCAGAACAGCCCCAATTCATCAGGGCATGGACTCTACAAGGTGTTGAAAGCGTTCCACAGAGATGCTGGCCCATGTTGACTCCAATGCGTCCCACAGTTGTGTCAAGTTGGCTGGATGTCCTTTGGGTGGTGGACCATTCTAGATACTTAAGGGAAATTGTTGAGCGTGAAAAACACAGCAGCGTTGCAGTTCTTGACACACTCAAACTGGTGCGCCTGGCACCTACTACCATACCCTGTTCAAAGGCACTTAGATCTTTTGTCTTTCCCATTCACCTTCTGAATGGCACACATACACAATCCATGTCTCAATTGTCTCAAGGCTTAAATTCCTTTCTTAACCGGTCTCCTCCCCTTCATCTACACTGATTTGAAGTGGATTTAACAAGTGTCGTCAATAAGGGATCATAGCTTTCACCTGGATTCATATGGTCAGTCTGTCATGTTTCGTACACTCAGTGTATATGGTCATTTTTAGATATACAGGGTAAAGTTGATAATTTCATAACGAGGACATCACTTTCCGAGGCTCACTGTATGGCCAAAGCAGTAGGAGAAAAGAAGCTCACAGAAAACGTCCATATGTTATGTCATACCTCATTTGTAAACAATAAATATTGATACATTACTTGCTCATACACTAGTGGGTGATGGTGATTTCAGAACCAAAGTGGGGGGACAAAAAGTATAGGCTACATTGCCCCCCTAATCTGATGTGGTAGTGGGGTGGGAGAATGGCTAGACTCCCTTATGGCTCAGATCAGGTGCCTACATAGGACATACACCATGGACATAATTTACACACACACACACACACACACACACACACACACACACACACACACACACACAGAAGTCAGCTCCGACAGATCCAGCTCAGAGAGGCCCAGCTCATGATCTCCATCAGCAGCAGATTTTAATTTAGAATGTAAAAAATGTTAGTGCATCTAATCGCATCGAACCAAATCGCATCGATTCGTTCTCTAATCAAACCGAAACTCACTGAATCGTAAAAAAATACATGAAATATATATATTTCCTGTATCGTATCAAGTCCTGCAGGCTCTAGTTTAATCTTATCTTGATTATTGTCCAGTCATATGGTGAAGTGCTGCAAAGAAATACCTAGTTAAGCTGCAGCTGGCCCAGAACAGAGCAGCACGTCTTGCTCTTAATTGTAATCAGAGGGCTAATATTAATACTATTCACGCCAGTCTCTCTTGGCTAAGAGTTGAGGAAAGACTGATTACATCACTTCTTGTTTTTATAAGAAACATTAATGTGCTGGAAATTCCTAATTGTTTGCATAGTCAACTTACACACAGCACTGACACACACATTTACCCCACCAGACATGCCACCAGGGGTCTTTTCACAGTCCCCAGGTCCAGAACAAATTTAAGGAAACGTACAGTATTCTACAGAGCCATGAGTGCAAGAAACTCCCTTCCATCTTATATAGCGCAAATGAACAGCAAACCTGGTTTTAAAAAAAACAAATAAAGCAACACCTCATGGCACAACGCCTCTCCCCCATGTGACCTACTTGTTGTGTGTATGTACTGACATGTATGTGTAACTGATAGATGCACACACACGCACACTACATGTTCATGTTTTTAAATTATTCAATTTTAAAGTATTTTGTCTGTAATGTATTTTTCGTTATGTGTCGGACACCAGTAAGACTAGCTGTTGCCAATAAATATATGTTTTTTAAATCAAGTATCGAAGCCAATGTATCGAATCGTCTTGAAAGGGAAAGATGCACATCCATTACATGGATGCTTCACACGCTATTTTTGTAGAGGATATAAGAAGTATTTACTATATTGTTTATCTAAATATATATATACAGTGGGGAGAACAAGTATTTGATACATTGCCAATTTTGCAGGTTTTCTTACTTACAAAGCATGTAGAGGTCTGTAATTTTTATCATAGGTACACTTCAACTGTGAGAGACGGAATCTAAAACAAAAATCCAGAAAATCACATTGTATGATTTTTAAGTAATTAATTTGCATTTTATTGCAAGTGTACCTATGATAAAAATTACAGACCTCTACATGCTTTGTAAGTAGGAAAACCTGCAAAATCGGCAGTGTATCAAATACTTGTTCTCCCCACTGTATACTGCCCATCAGTCAGTCATGTATGGGATTATCCACTACCAGTCTCACATCACCACAAAGAAAGATGCCTCAACAACAACTGTTACAGCCACAGTACGCTGACGCGGAGGCGTAACATGGATTACAAGCTAAACAGATCACATCAGTATCTGCCCATGCTCTGTAACCACAGTAATGATGCTGGTCATTTCTGAGGCCGCTTGGTGGCAGTAACTGGGTGTGGCTGTGGAGGGTGTGTGTGCCATCCTGGCATTCCATCTGAGCATAGCTAAATATACTCTTAATGGCCAGCTAGATGTCTTTCCAGGCTGGCAAGGAGATACAACTAGGTTAATAACACTCAAGCACATTTGCACGCACAGTCCACATAATTTAAAATAAATTGGTTTAGAAACTGCTTTCTAGCTCTGGCTGACGTAATTAGGTTTAATGTTGGACATGGCAACTATACTCTGGACAACTCTTTGCTGATTTATTTTACTGATAACCTCCATCATTTTGAGTAGTTGGTGGGTGGCTGGATAACATTTCCTGGTACATTTGTAGTTGTTTTCCTGCTGCCTGCATGCTGGAGGTCATCTGTACCACACACACACACACACACACACACACATACACACACACACAAATAAAGAAACACACACGTACACACATGGTGTCGTACTGTGCCTCTTAAATGCACGCATGTACAGGCTCTGAGGACAAACAGCTGGGGCCAGATTGTGGCTAGTGAGTCTTGCCAGAATGGCTTACCCTGAGGTGACCTGCTACGTTTTCCATGATTTATACTGGACCTGCTGCACTACAACCTGGCCTTTTAAGGAGCTATGGCAGCCAGTGATGGAAGCAATCCGCTAAAGGAGCAAAAGTAAACGTACAGCAAAGGCATAGATATCATAGTATCAGCAGACTGAAGAGCAGCAGACTGAAGGAAAGCGCTACATATTTTAATGGGAAGGTAATAGTAGTAAGGATGGGGTGGGAGACTTTAAAACCGGGGATGACTGAAAGTGAGTGCCGTTTATCCACATGAAAGGATTGGCCTCTGGTCAGAGAGAGAGAGCGCGAGAGAGAGAGAGTGTGTGTGTGTGTGTGTGTGTGGGTGTGTTTAGTGCTGGCGTTTTGGTTATGGCTGGGTTAAAGGGGGGGGGGATGTCTACGCAAAGCGGCTTTGTCCTCCATCTGTGCCTGAGGAGCAGGCCTTGAGCCGCAAATACCAGCTGAGGGCCTGTTATACAATCACACAAGAGCCAGAGAGATACTGTATATACAGCAGCCCACACACTGATACATCCACAGACATGTAATGCTCCCTCCACCTCCATCTTTTCTTCCTCCTGCTACAGATGTAGGATCTTAATTGAATCAACCTGTTGCAGGAGAACTTTCCTGCAATGCAGGTCATTAAAAACTTTTGAGGTTTAAAAAGGCTTCTGAAGTTTGTAATTTTCACTTAGAAATTTCAGACTTGATTTTACCTTACGAAAAACATTTCCTGTTGCTGCAGGATAATTTTCCTTCTGTAGCAGACTGGCTCAAATTAAGATCCTACATCTGTATTAACCACTGTGGGACGGCCAGGCCCAGGCTTACGTCAGTGACCTCATTTCCTGCTAGCTCACTGGTGGGAATCTTAAAGAAAAAATCCACAAAAAAACGATATTTTTATTAGTCCACTGTTGATAAATGTTTTGCATGTCAGGTTTTCAAGATATTCGAAAACGCATCATCATGATGATGTGGCAATTTGCTTCATGAAAGTCCAATATCAATGTATGAAAAAAATACAGAAAGTACAGAAATCAGAGTTTTCCTTTAATATGCAGGGTCTGATTCAAGAAGAGATGAGACTTAGCAGTATGTTTACCATAGGTGACAAGGTGTTAAATATGTCCCCTCAACGGGCTGGGGTCAGTCTCCTTCAGCAGGTAATCAGACAATGGTCAGCTACCTCATCCAGTTGTGTGTGTGTGTGTGTGTGTCGACGGTGTCACTGTTAGACTGAATGCGGGTGTGCATGTCAGTTTGCAGTTTGACTACATGCTCATTTTAGCTTCTGCGCAGTGAGTATTTGACTGGGTCTGTGTGTGAGTTTGTGACGTGCCTCTCCTTGGATGAACACCTGCTTGTTATCTTAGTAATGCGTGACTGTAATGCAGGGAGTCATATTGAGTCATGCTCAAGAATGTTTGTGGGCTTGCTAATTACATCATGTATCCAACGCAAAGTATGTTCATGCCATGGAATACTTGATTACAGACAGTATGGATGTGTGGACATGTGAATGAGTCTATTGGAGCGGTTGGCATATGTTGGCAATCAATGGCAAGTTTTTATGATTAGATAATAAGATGTGTAAAAAATCTGTTAGTAGCACGGTTGCAAACTGTTCAGTCTTGGCCCTCTTTTTGGTGGGTGTTGCATCTGTGCAATACTCTAGGTTGCCATGTATTGGACCTTTTGTCCGCTCTTTCCTACACAGGAAGGAAGTATTCTGGTTGCCATATATTGCTCCCACCATCAGTCTCTTTCCATCCACAGGAAGATCTGTGTGCACTGTAAGTGTGTGCGTGAGGAGCATGCAGTGCGGGCGGTGCCGGGCCAGCTGGAGAGGATGATGGTGAAGCTGGTATCAGACTTCCAGAGACACTCCATCTCCGACGACGACTCAGGCTGCGCCTCTGAGGAGTACGCCTGGGTCCCGCCTGGACTCAAGCCTGAACAGGTCAGAACCAGCTTTTAATATACTTTGTATGGCTCATTTACTCAGGTGTTTCCTTTATTTTGGCAGTTACCTGTATGTTTAAACTTCAACACACAATCTTATTTGCATACACACAGGGTAAAAAAAAAACTGCCTTGCAGCCCCGCCCAAAGAAGTGTGTGTCTGATCATGCTTGTTTTAATGCAGGTGTATCAGTATTTCAGCTGTATCCCGGAGGACAGAGTGCCCTATGCTAACAGCCCAGGAGAGAGGTACCGCATAAAACAGCTCCTCCACCAGCTACCAGCTCACGACAGTGAGGTAACAGTCGCTAATACTGTAACTGTGTGGGGTTTTGGTTGTCCTAAAGCCCCTGGGCTGTAATATGATTGTTTTCTGTGACGCTTGTCTGACTCAGCATTATAACTATTCTCTAATACTATACTGCACGTCTGGGTGAGATGTTGGTTTCCCTAGCCTCTTGGCTGTAATGTAGTTGTTTTGTGTTGTTCCTCACTAGTCTGTTCTGCTTGAGTTGACATTATAACTTCTGTATGTGTTTTGTGTTTCCAGCCTCAATACTGTAACCATCTGGATGAGGAGGAGAAGAAGGAGCTGCGTATGTTCAGTCAGCAGAGGAAAAGGGAGAACCTGGGCAGAGGCATGGTCAGAATGTTCCCTGTCACCATGACCGGAGCCATCTGCCAACAGGTAGATACTGCTAAGGGAGGAGGGTGGGAGATCAGGGAGGAGACTAGGGTGGGATGGAGACTGTGAGAGTGAGGGACCAGGGAGATGGAGACAGGAGGAATTAGGGAATTCTCCAGTTTTTGGTGTATGTATTAGACCTGGGTTCAAATATCTCAATTACTTTCACATACATTCGAAGTAAGTATTCAGATACATTTTATTTGAAAAGACAAGTAGTTTAATATTTTTATGTATTTGGAAATACACTTGGAAAATATTTGAAAATATTCAAATACACTGACTCAAATACACTCCCATGCATTTAATTTGAAATAAGTATTTTAAAATACTCTCAAATTTTAAAATACTCTCAAATACAATTTGTTAGACTATTTGGTTTTTACAGATAACCATTCAAATACACAAAAGTACTTATTTTGGGCTCTTTTGAAAAGACTCAAATACACAGAAAAAAAGCATTTTAAATACCATATACTGAAATACACATCAAGCCAAGCACATAGCTTGGTGAGAGTGTGGTTGTCCTATGGTTATTTTGCATACAACCTTCCCACAACATTCTGGGAATGGTGCAGGATAGTTAGTCTTGCTAACACCAACCTCTGCGTCCTTGACTTGAGTCTGGAACGGCTGCTTTGATGTGTCTGCACAAAGCAACTACAGTGGGGGAAAAAAGTATTTAGTCAGCCACCAATTGTGCAAGTTCTTCCACTTAAAAAGATGAGAGAGGCCTGTAATTTTCATCATAGGTACACGTCAACTATGACAGACAAATTGAGGAAAAAAAATCCAGAAAATCACATTGTAGGATTTTTAATGAATTTATTTGCAAATTATGGTGGAAAATAAGTATTTGGTCACCTACAAACAAGCAAGATTTCTGGCTCTCACAGACCTGTAACTTCTTCTTTAAGAGGCTCCTCTGTCCTCCACTCGTTACCTGTATTAATGGCACCTGTTTGAACTTGTTATCAGTATAAAAGACACCTGTCCACAACCTCAAACAGTCACACTCCAAACTCCACTATGGCCAAGACCAAAGAGCTGTCAAAGGACACCAGAAACAAAATTGTAGACCTGCACCAGGCTGGGAAGACTGAATCTGCAATAGGTAAGCAGCTTGGTTTGAAGAAATCAACTGTGGGAGCAATTATTAGGAAATGGAAGACATACAAGACCACTGATAATCTCCCTCGATCTGGGGCTCCACGCAAGATCTCACCCCGTGGGGTCAAAATTATCACAAGAACGGTGAGCAAAAATCCCAGAACCACACGGGGGGACCTTGTGAATGACCTGCAGAGAGCTGGGACCAAAGTAACAAAGCCTACCATCAGTAACACACTACGCCGCTAGGGACTCAAATCCTGCAGTGCGAGACGTGTCCCCCTGCTTAAGCCAGTACATGTCCAGGCCCGTCTGAAGTTTGCTAGAGTGCATTTGGATGATCCAGAAGAGGATTGGGAGAATGTCATATGGTCAGATGAAACCAAAATATAACTTTTTGGTAAAAACTCAACTCGTCGTGTTTGGAGGACAAAGAATGCTGAGTTGCATCCAAAGAACACCATACCTACTGTGAAGCATGGGGGTGGAAACATCATGCTTTGGGGCTGTTTTTCTGCAAATGGACCAGGACGACTGATCCGTGTAAAGGAAAGAATGAATGGGGCCATGTATCGTGAGATTTTGAGTGAAAACCTCCTTCCATCAGCAAGGGCATTGAAGATGAAACGTGGCTGGGTCTTTCAGCATGACAATGATCCCAAACACACCGCCCGGGCAACGAAGGAGTGGCTTTGTAAGAAGCATTTCAAGGTCCTGGAGTGGCCTAGCCAGTCTCCAGATCTCAACCCCATAGAAAATCTTTGGAGGGAGTTGAAAGTCCGTGTTGCCCAGCGACAGCCCCAAAACATCACTGCTCTAGAGGAGATCTGCATGGAGGAATGGGCCAAAATACCAGCAACAGTGTGTGTGAACCTTGTGAAGACTTACAGAAAACGTTTGACCTGTGTCATTGCCAACAAAGGGTATATAACAAAGTATTGAGAAACTTTTGTTATTGACCAAATACTTATTTTCCACCATAATTTTCAAATAAATTCATTAAAAATCCTACAATGTGATTTTCTGGATTTTTTTTCTAATTTTGTCTGTCATAGTTGACGTGGACCTATGATGAAAATTACAGGCCTCTCATCTTTTTAAGTGGGAGAACTTGCACAATTGGTGGCTGACTAAATACTTTTTTCCCCCACTGTATAATGAAGGGGTTGTGCCCTTTCAAGACGGCAGGCACCATACGCTGGTTGGATATCCCCTTTCTGAATTGAATGAATCACGATGTACTGTTTTACGTAGGACCGCCCCAGCCCTTCCGTTTGTAGCCAGCCCTTCCGTAATAAACAAACAAACACACACACAGTAGCTAGCTAGCACAAACCTTTGGACTTCAGACATCGTTTGCCGCTAACATCAGGAATAGTGCGCATAAATCATCACACAAATTTCCCAAACGTTATAACAAACCTTCTACACTAAAACGAGTGACATATTAGACAACTGTAACCTGTTAAACGTTACGATCGTGTGGCTAGCAAGTTGCAACTGTTAGCTTGCATTGTTCAGCCCATAGAAAGTCAGCCAGCTAATAACTTTAGCTTGCTATCAACTCGAAATCATCTAGCTAATCAAATGTATGTTTCATTTATAAATTAACTAGTTAGTTAATTATAGGTTGAACATTTCCTTACCCCACTGAAGTTATTAATTTTCCTTCTTGGATGTCCTCTATTTACATAGTAGGGCAATGATGTGAATCAACCATGCGTGCTAGCATTACTTTAACAGAACGTTCCCTAAAAGTTCAAACATGGTTACATTTAATTTAAATTTGGGAATGTTCTAGGAACGTTCCTCAACTGGTTTTACATTGGGAATGGTCTCAAGTAGTTCAGAGACTTAAAGAAACAACATTCTTCTGTGGGAATTTCAGTACTTCTGCATAATGTTTCCTACAGGTTTCCTTATGGTTCTATTTAAAGTCATGTTCTCAAATTGTTCCAAGAACATTAAGAAAACTTTCCATAAAAACCACAAGAAAATGTTTGTAACGTTCAGAGAACGTTATAAGAATGTTATTTAAAAACATGTACATTACGTTCTCAGCATCAACAAAACGCTCTCTATCCTCTATCTTGTTTAGTGTGTTCAGGTATGTTGGTCTCGCCCACTATTTGGCCACACCTGATCTTAATGAGTGCTTGTTTCCTTTGAAATGGGGTATGTTTGAATAGACTAGAAACATGTCAGGCTTTCTCCATCCTGGTGGCGCAGTGAATTAATGTCATGGATAGAGAACAGAGGATTATACATTTGAATCTCACTGATGGTGTCACAATAAAAAAAAATACATGTGTTTCCATGATTGATGCCTAAGGAAATGAATTTCCATGTGTCCTATCTGTGCTTGGAGTTCAAAAAAGTGAACCCAAAATAATCTAGCAGTGTAGAAACATTCAGTAAAAGTTACGTTTTTCAAAAACCTACAAATAACCTATAATTTTAGTTCTCTGGGCGTTAATAAAACCTCCCAGGAAAACTGTCAAGGAACCACAGTAAAACGTTCTCAGAACCTCCCTGCAACCTAAAAATAAACGTTCCCAGAACAGGCAAAATGTTTAGTTCCGTTCTCAGAGCGTTTAAAAAACGTTCAGTTTTACCGGTCAGGAAACGTGTGGCTTCATTCCCAGAACCAATGGAAAACCAAAAATGTATGTTTCCACAACTTCCAAGGAACCAAATGTGCTAGCTAGGATGTATTTGAACTGAGGTCTGGTATGTATACACTGTGTTCTCACATGCTCATTTACATTTTGTTTACCTGTTGTTTTGTCTCTCTGTCTCTCTCTCTGTGTTTCAGTGTGGCAGACAGATCTGTGGTGGGGACATAGCTGTGTTTGCCAGCCGGGCGGGTCACGGGAGCTGCTGGCACCCTCAATGTTTCCAGTGTGCCTCCTGTACTGAGCTGCTGGTGGACCTCATCTACTTCTACCAGGATGGACAGATCTACTGTGGCAGGCACCACGCTGAGAGGATCAAACCGCGCTGCCAAGCCTGTGATGAGGTGATTGACTCTGCCCTGTCATGTCCGCTCAACAAATATATGCTTACTGTGTATCCAGTCCACTGTCTGCTCATACACTCTGTAGGCCCTGTCCTGTCAACAAATCTCTCCATACTAGGTGTGCTGTCTGCTCATATACAGTGGGGGGGAAAAGTATTTAGTCAGCCACCAATTGTGCAAGTTCTCCCACTTAAAAAGATGAGAGAGGCCTGTAATTTTAATCATAGGTACACGTCAACTATGACAGACAAATTGAGAGAGAAAAAATCCAGAAAATCACATTGTAGGATTTTTAATGAATTTATTTGCAAATTATGGTGGAAAATAAGTATTTGGTCACCTACAAACAAGCAAGATTTCTGGCTCTCACAGACCTGTAACTTCTTCTTTAAGAGGCTCCTCTGTCCTCCACTCGTTACCTGTATTAATGGCACCTGTTTGAACTTGTTATCAGTATAAAAGACACCTGTCCACAACCTCAAACAGTCACACTCCAAACTCCACTATGGCCATGACCAAAGAGCTGTCAAAGGACACCAGAAACAAAATTGTAGACCTGCACCAGGCTGGGAAGACTGAATCTGCAATAGGTAAGCAGCTTGGTTTGAAGAAATCAACTGTGGGAGCAATTATTAGGAAATGGAAGACATACAAGACCACTGATAATCTCCCTCGATCTGGGGCTCCACGCAAGATCTCACCCCGTGGGGTCAAAATTATCACAAGAACGGTGAGCAAAAATCCCAGAACCACACGGGAGGACCTAGTGAATGACCTGCAGAGAGCTGGGACCAAAGTAACAAAGCCTACCATCAGTAACACACTACGCCGCCAGGGACTCAAATCCTGCAGTGCCAGACGTGTCCCCCTGCTTAAGCCAGTACATGTCCAGGCCCGTCTGAAGTTTGCTAGAGTGCATTTGGATGATCCAGAAGAGGATTGGGAGAATGTCATATGGTCAGATGAAACCAAAATAGAACTTTTTGGTAAAAACTCAACTCGTCGTGTTTGGAGGACAAAGAATGCTGAGTTGCATCCTAAGAACACCATACCTACTGTGAAGCATGGGGGTGGAAACATCATGCTTTGGGGCTGTTTTCTGCAAAGGGACCAGGACGACTGATCCGTGTAAAGAAAAGAATGAATGGGGCCATGTATCGTGAGATTTTGAGTGAAAACCACCTTCCATCAGCAAGGCCATTGAAGATGAAACGTGGCTGGGTCTTTCAGCATGACAGTGATCCCAAACACACCGCCCGGGCAACGAAGGAGTGGCTTCGTAAGAAGCATTTCAAGGTCCTGGAGTGGCTTAGCCAGTCTCCAGATCTCAACCCCATAGAAAATCTTTGGAGGGAGTTGAAAGTCTGTGTTGCCCAGCGACAGCCCCAAAACATCACTGCTCTAGAGGAGATCTGCATGGAGGAATGGGCCAAAATACCAGCAACAGTGTGTGAAAACCTTGTGAAGACTTACAGAAAACGTTTGACCTGTGTCATTGCCAACAAAGGGTATACAACAAAGTATTGAGAAACTTTTGTTATTGACCAAATACTTATTTTCCACCATAATTTGCAAATAAATTCATTAAAAATCCTACAATGTGATTTTCTTGATTTTTTTTATTCTCATTTTGTCTGTCATAGTTGACGTGTACCTATGATGAAAATTACAGGCCTCTCTCATCTTTTTAAGTGGTAGAACTTGCACAATTGGTGGCTGACTAAATACTTTTTTCCCCCACTGTACTGTGCTGCCCTGTGCTGTCCACAAAGCTCTCCAAACTGTGTATCCACTCTCTGCTTATACACTCTCTGCCCTGTCTACAAATCTCCATTTCAAATCGCCACTCTCCAGTTCTAATACTGACTCTTATGAGGAGATTTGTATCTTTGGCAGACTCGTACTCAGGGCTGGAAGAGTGTGTCTTTATTTGATTTACATGCCTGTAGACCCTAGAGGAACATCTAGTCCCTCAATGAGCCAGCCATATGTTGTTGTTCCACAAGCACCTTTTAAATCTCTCTTCCTCACACACACACACACACACACACTGACTCTTGTTTAGACCCTCTGTATTTGTGACTTAAGAGATTAGTTGAAGTAGACTAATAGGTCTGTCATGATTGACCTTCACAAGTCCTTAGAGGATATAACCCTGTCACACTGTAAAGACAGTCTTTCAGAGAAACAGAGATTTCATTCCACATAAACCAGAAATTTGATTTGCTGAGCCTCTTACCCTTTTTTCCACCCACTCTCTCGCTCTATCTCTCTCTCTCTCTCTCCCTCTGTCTCTCTCCTCCTCTCTTTCTGAAATGCAGATAATTCTAGCGGATGAGTGTACGGAGGCAGAGGGTCGACACTGGCATATGAAGCACTTCTGTTGTTTTGAGTGTGAAGCAGCGTTGGGAGGACAGCGGTACATCATGAGGGAGAGCCGGCCATACTGCTGCTCCTGCTATGAGTCCCTCTATGCAGAGTACTGTGACACCTGTGGGGAACACATAGGTACTGCAACAACACAGGTCCATGTTTGCACAAAGGGAAACATATACACACTTACACAGAGAAATATACAACCACTCACACAGAGAGAAGTATACACACTCAAACAGAGAGAAATACATACACACTAACACATAGGGAAATCCATACACACTCACACACAGACAATTTTCTTAGACCCGCTCTCTTTGTCTTCCAGGTATAGACCAGGGGCAAATGACCTATGAGGGCCAGCACTGGCATGCTGCCGAGTCGTGTTTCTGCTGTGCCCGCTGTCGGCTCCCCCTGCTGGGGCGGCCCTTCCTCCCGCGTGGGGGCCTCATCTTTTGCTCCAGGCCCTGCTCCCTGGGAGAGGATCCAGATAACTCAGACTCGTGTGACTCAGCCCTCCAGAGCCGGCATCCGCAGCACAGACGCTGTGAGACAGATGAGAAAATCCAGCAGCCGCAGCGCTGCTCCTCACAGCAACCACCAGATGGAGCCAACATCCCTGTTGTCCCAGGAGAAGTCTGCATTCATGCTGCACTGGAAAATAGACGTAGGGGCATACTGTACATACATAGATGTAGATGGCATTTACATGTTATGTAGGTCATGCCTGAGCCTTTTTATTTCCACAGCATGTAACAGCTATGTAATACTCATACACATACAAACATAAGATAGCCTGCAGGGAATGGAATTGAAGAAAGATTATTTTACTTATTTAGCAGGCTCTTTTATCCAAATTAACTTTGATCACATGATCAAAACAATAGAATTTAGAAATTGTCAAAGATTACATAGCCTTTTCTATTCAAACAAGGTGTGTTTTATCTTCATTTAATCTGTCTCCCAGGTGTTCACATCTCTACTAATGTTCCAAATGGTATCCTTCCATCACTCATCGGTCATCCTAACCTCAGAGGGTCCTACTCTCCCCTTCCCCATTGTCACTTAGCCAATAACTGGGGACCATCTTGGCCTGTTGACCAATCACTCAGCAGTTTGCACCCTGGAGATTGTGGCAAGCATCCAGGCAGTAGTCTGGAGTATTTAGGAGAGCCCAATGGCTATGCGGGACACCCCCTCACCAGTTTTAGTAGAGGAACGTCTACTGCAAAGGACTGTGGGAACTGGGTGGAGAGGAGTAGTCAAGTTATGCAAGGTATTACACAAGGCAATAACATGCATCATAAATTAAAGTGGGACTGTTCAGAATGAAACAGTTAAATGTGGTGCTCTGTTAGATACAATTGGCCACAAGCAAGAGTTGAGTAGTATTCTGTAAATCTGTAACCAAATCTTCCTCACCTCCTGTTATTGTGAGGTGATTGAACAGTAATTGTATCCTTTGCTTTTTTTATTTCTAAATGGAGGTATTTTATTTGTTCCCTCTCCCTCTTCCCAGTGTTTCCTCCCCCGAGGAACTCCTCCTTACCTGCATCACTAAACCATCCCAGTCCTGCTGACCCTCTGCCCCTCCCACCCCCTCTACCCACCAAGTCTAGTGATTTGATGAACAGGCCAAGTCTGCACCTACCAGAGCCAAGCCCCCCTGACCCTAGCCCCCAATCAAGTCGCAGCGGAACAGCCAGGGTCAGTTTCCGAGAGCCAATCAGCTGCAGCTACTCGGTGGATGAGGAGGAGGAAGAAGAGGAGGAGAATGAGGAGAGAAGAGAGGGGGAGGAAGAACAGGCGGAGGGGGAGGAAGAGGATGGAGGTTTTGGGCGCAGGTTACATATGCAGAGGGGCATTCCACCTCAAATGGACCTACTGGGTAAGAGACAGAGACTACTTTTTTTTATTTTCCTTCTTCTCTTTTTTCTTTTCATCACAATGGCCAACCGTCTCTCATTTTTTGCGTCTCCTCACAGATGGTTCATACCAACATCGTAGTTTACGGCGGGGGTGGAACCGCGGCCGTGTGGCCTCCGACTCCACTCTCCACCTAGGCACAGAGAGACGTTTCCGTCACTCTCGGCCGGATAGGCCCCGTCTGGATGCTCTAGAATGGAGAGGAGCGAGGGAGAGGGTTTCACTCTCTTCCCCTGGCACCACAGAGCCCCCATCACTTACCCTCCAGCCAACCCAGTACAAAAAACATGAGGACTCCTGCTCAACCTGCTCCTCTTCCTCAGACTCAGAGGAAGAGGGTTATTTCCTGGGGCAGCTCATCCCCCTGCCCCCCCAGCTAACCCACAGGCCCCAGTCCGTGGACAGAGAGAGGGAAGGAGAGAAGGACAGGGGGTTGAGAAACAGCCTGAGAAGGAAGAGAAGGGCCAATAGCCTTGGTGCAAAGGACAAAGACAACAACTGTGCCATCTCCTAAGTTTGACCCTCACAGTGAAAGTTCTGTTTTCCAACGATCAAGCCCATGTCCAGTATCACAATAAATTATACATATTCATCTGTAACATGTTGGGGATACTTTGAATACAATACTCCTATGCAGCAGACTCATTCAAAGATTAAACTACTGTACTATAAGAAGGCATGAGGAAACAGAGTGACTGTAAGACGTATTAGAGTGATCAGATATAAAATAACAATGTTATATGTTTTGTGTTTGTAAATCGTTTCGGGCACTTTTTGCACAGTAGAGTGACTCTGGCATCCATCTAGGAAGTTCTGTAACATTTTGTAAGAAAATGTCACTGTGTTCCCGCAGTACATGTTATAGGATTTACTCATGTATAGGTTTTTCTCAGAAACGGGAAGAAATTCACTTTGCATTATTTTCAAGTGAATTTGTGGAGAGAGAACCCTCATTCCAGTATGAGCATAAGCATTATTGTGGGAATTTATTCTTATCTTTGTATAGGACCATGTAATTAATGTACAGTAAGGATTTGAGGATTCCTTCTCAGATTCTACACTTCTTTGTAGTTACTCTACATTTCTTCATGGGTCTCTCGCTCTGTGTCTCTGTGATTCCAAACATGCACATTGTGTTCTTCTGCAAAGAATGTGCTGGCAGTGTTCAGTCATATATTATTTCACCAAGACCGATATAAACTAAGATTCTGACTTTATGTTTTTGTAGCATACATATTTTTTATACTCTGAGTGTTATATTCAATGTTACACATTTATGAGAATGATTGGTCGTTTTTGTTCGAACAAATAGTTGGCAAAATATTCTGTGAGAGAAGTGAGTACCAAAACAGTGTCGGTCCCACACAGTGAGATTCAAAGACTATATGTGCACACTAACCCGGACTGTAAATGTTGGTGTGTATGTTCATATGTGTCTGTGTATGTTTGACAACCTATCAAATCAAAATGTATTTGTCACGTGCGCTGAATACAACAGGTGTCGACTTTACCATGAAATGCTTACTTAAGAGCCCTTTCCCAACAATGCAGAGTTAAAAAGTAAGAAAAATTAGCAATAAAGGAAATCGTAACACAATAGAATAATAACAAGATATATACAAGGAGTACCATGGTTCTCACTTTGACGTAAAGCCTCCCTATGTGAGCGTATGATATTCAAAAAAGGAAATAGTGTACATTCATTGATTTTTAGATCAAAAACACATTACTTCAAGTCTAGTTATTATTTTTATACACTTGGGTGCTGGTTCCTGTTTTCAATGTTTTTTGTTGAAATGTAAAACACTTAAACTTTCACTTTTCAGAGATTGTGATGAAACTACAGTTTCTGCAAGTGTTGTACTAGGATAAATACATTCTTTGAAAACAATTTCTCATTTCATGTCTGAATATACACTGAGTGTACAAACATTAGGAACCTAATATTGAGTTGCACTGTCTTTTGCAACTCAGAACAGCCTCAATTCATCAGGGCATGGACTCTACAAGGTGTCGAAAGCGTTCCACAGGGATGCTGGCCGATGTTGATTCCAATGCTTCTCACAGTTGTGTCAAGTTGGCGGGTTGTGCTTTGGGTGGTGGACCATTCTTGATACACACAGGAAACTTGAGTGTGAAAAACCCAGCAGCATTGCAGTTGTTGACACTCAAACCGGTGAGTCTGGCACCTACTGCCATACCCCGTTCAAAGGCACTTAAATATTTTGTCTTGCCCATTCACTCTCTGCATGGCACACACACAATCCATGTCTGAATTGTCTCAAGGGTTAAAAATAATTTAACATATCTCCTCCCCGTCATCGGCACTGATTGAAGTGGATTTAACAAGTGACATCGATAAGGGATCATAGCTTTCACCTGGTTGGTCTATGTCATGGAAAGAGCATGTTTTGTACACAGTGTATGTTTCATTCATTTCAATATTATGTTTCATTTTGACAACTACAACAACGGTCCTCTTTTTAGTCTATGGTCCACACACTGGCCTTCTTCAGAGGTTTGCATCTGATCAGAGATGGGTCTGTTATTGTCTAACAGGTTTAATATTACAAACACCAGCATGCTTTGAATAAATCATTAGAGGAAAGGAAACTGTCATGTGACAGAAGAAGCCAGTTTACTTCCTTATGTAGGAGTGATTGGTCAGAGTAGTCAGGTGGGGGAGGGAGAAGGAGGAGGAGCACATGAGCCGTCTGACAGGTTTGGCTGGTCTGTTGCTCCCTTCCATTGTGGAACACATTCACATGCTACAGAAGAATTCTATAGTTGTTATCCTTTGTGGTGTGATGAGCTGTAGAGAGAGGCCTAGAGTTCCATTGGGGACCTGTAAGATTCTACTTCTACTCTAAAGGTGAGTTTTCATTGGAATTTAAAGCCTGAGTAAGTGTGTGGGTCCAAGGAACCAACGCCTTCAAACTAACAGGATCAAAGAACACTAGGACAAGACCGTCTATAAGGCCTTGACTGTGTTTGTGAGCGATCCTTTCAGGTTCATGTATATACCTGGCTTGTAAGTTTATATTAGTGTTTTCTCATTAATGTCCTGGTTCAACCCATGGTGTTAGGTGTTTTTTCTTCCTAAATGGAACAAGCTGAGACTTGAGACTGGGTTGAAGGAGAAGGATCTGTTTGTTCATTTTACATACCACTTTACAGAACTGTGTGTTCAGTATTACTGTACTTGGAGAACTTAGCCTAATAAAATAGAACGTCCTCTGCACTCATTGACATACATTGTACTGTGTGTACAATAGGAGTTAGAGGAGGAGCAACATTGAGATGAAGAGATAAGGACATGCAGGTGAGAGTGCAGTGAGACAGTTGTATAACTCTAACCACAGCAGGGGGTTGGCCTGGCTCGAGGTGGAATGAGAAACATGTTGAGAATGTGTCTTGTCACATAGACTATTAGTGGTGTCTTTTAAACTCACACTCTTCCTTTTTCATAAAGCAATGATTACTGGTTTGTCATTGATATCTTTGCACTTTAGCTACCAACAATGCATGACACCACACAATAGGAGCATTTTTAGAAGTTAATAACAGGCCTACACTCGCTACTCAAGTTCATGTTTATGTTGCTGTGGTCACCGATCTTCAGAAAATGTACTGGTGTAGAAAAAACCTATATAATGTGTGTTCAGAACAAATATTCAGAAAACGAATTGATGATGACTGACTACAGTCAACTCCTAGATGGGTGGGTCAAGTGTTATGGTTTCAGAAATACAAACCAGACTACCCTGGGGTCTGCAGTCTAGAGGAAGCCCCAGCCCAGCACAACCCCCTAGCAACTGGGAGCTTTATTTAAAGATGGCGTGGCATTGTTCCCCTCTAACAGCTGTTAGTGTGTGATAGACTCTGTCTGGGTATTCCTCCAAACAATAGTTTGTTGACAGCTGGTGAGCCCCCCCACACTTTTCTTTAGTCCTCTCTCAATCTCAGGCTTTTCACTGGCCTTGCAATTAATGAAAATGAAGTGTGGAAGTTTATTGTGTTATGTTCTTGAGATCGATGGGTGGTAGGTGTAATTGTTAAAAAGTGTTTGGACCCGCAGCCAATGGCCTGCATCCGACCTGCCCCTTTTCTATTCAGATGTATAACATTCTGTGTTGTGATTGGCTGCATCCTGGGGTTTTGTGAGTGCAGGGGGAGGAGCCATTATACTGTTGACTTACAATGTCCCTGACTCAACCACAGCACTTTATAGTGCTTTGTGTGAGTTGATGTATCAGTGACATTGGGGTAGTATCTCTGTAGGTGCTCCCTCTGTCTTTGAGGTAACTGTGTATTTATATTGATTCCTTGCCTGTAAGTTTTGTCTCTTTCCTCTGATGACACATTTATCTGATGGTGTGTAAGTTGATATGTGATGGTGTTTCTCCTTTTTCTGCAGGACAACCAGACTAGGGCACCAGGGTTCAAGTGGGATCCCGTGGGAACTGGAAGAAGACGGAATCATATCAGCCGAGAGCAAAATCCTGTCAACTTTCAGGGGACAGTATGATCCTGGGCTGATGACATCCAAATAAGTTTGACTTTGGGTGGCCAAAAACAGCAGGAGAAAGACAGGAGTCAAGGACAACCCACCCATGTTAACTTCCACTTCCAGCATGCCTGTGGAGACCCCCCAGCCTGTCCTGAGACAGCCGGTGGCAGTGAGGGCTGCTAGAACGCCCAACCCCAACCGCCTCCTCATGCCAAATCGCCTCCTCCTCCAACCAAGAACAGTGGCAGCAGCTGAGCCCAGGCAGAGCGCAGTGGAGAGGCTGGCGGCAGACAAGGCTAAATACGTCAAGAGTCAGGTGGCCCCCTCCAAGCAGCAGCCAATAAAAGTGCCTCCGCCTGTCATGCGCAAGCCTCTGATGTCCCCGGCTACTGCCCTGCGGCCCACCCGTAAGACCCAACCGCCTCGCCCTAACTATACCCAGCAAGGGAGAGCCCCACTGGACCTGGAGCACCTGAGTAACCTGATCAACGGGGTGGGTGAGGCTGAAACGCCCCCCACCTCCCCTACCATGGACCCAGTGGAAAGTAGTCAGGCCCCTGACTGCCCCACCACCACTACCAGCTCTCCCTGTCCCTCTCCATTCTCTGCTGGGGCTGCTGAGGGGATCCCGACCTCCTGCCCTGAATGGTCCACCCCAGTCAAATTAAGGATAAATGCCTCTGGCCCACTAAGTCCTTCTGGATGTCCTACTGCAGTGACCATACGTAGAGTGGACGTAATACCCCAACACCACCATACCATGCCAGTGAGGAAGCCCTTCAGAGCACAGCAGCAGATGCGTCTCCCAATGCAGCCCATGGCTCTGCATCCACACACTCAGATCCACAACGCTATGTCACCTCTTTGTCTCTTCCACCCCCGAACTACCTATGCACCAGGCCCTGCATCTCCTAAACCAGTCCCAGCCCCGCCACCACAAGACCACACCCCAACCCCCAACTCCCCGTCTACCACCGTTCAGTTCCCAGCCAACCACCCTGTACTCGCGCCCTCCCTGTCGGTCACCCGCCTGTCCTCCGGTAGCTCCAGGAAGCGGCCCTCTCTGACCCGATCCAAATCAGACATGAGTGACCGCTACTCCCGGGCCAGTACTGACCTGGAGCGCTTCTTCAACCTGTGTGGTTTGGATCCTTCGGAGATGCAGGTGCTGAAGGGGCCGGGCTCGGACATCGTGTCCCTCGCACAGTTCCGCAGTGCCAGTGCTCCTGGGTCAGAGTGTGCAGGCCATGAGGGTGAAGAGGAAGAACAGAACGGTGGGACTGCAGAGCCGGCTCCCTATGGTGTCTCGGTCATTGAGAGGAACGCCAGAGTGATCAAGTGGCTTTATGGTATCTGCCAATCCAAGGATAGTGCCAGGAGCACCAATATGTAGGGCCATGAGAGGCGGATGTAAATAGAGGCATGGGAGAAAAAGATGGAGGTACACTTTAAACATAATTCCTGTACAGAGAAAAAAAACTGGAGAAGTCTGACTGCCATATAAACCAACCAATGAAAATGAAAGGAAGGGACTGATGTGGACTAATAGTGAAAGAAAATGTCTGATAGTGTTGGACATCATTTGTGCAAGTTATTTATTGCAAGATATTTGGTACTACCACCTGTTTCACCTATATTGACTACAGAGATAACTTAATTGTAATCTGACTGGTTATCAGAATTGTGTTCTTTTTTTAATGAGAAATACATCAAAGTATTTTTTTTGTCTCATACTGGGGCTTGCAAGTCTTTCTTTTTGGTTGTGCTGCTGTTTGATTGCTTTGTTACTGTATGTTCAGATGATCTGTTTCTAAATAAATACCATTAACAATGTTAAAGTAAACTGATCTGAGGTGTATGACTTCATCATTCATGTTCTCTGTGTTTTTGAGGGGTTTAGCTGAGGCGGGAAAGGGTATGTGGGACTGACTGGGTGAAATTACAGTACATTTTCACAAGAGGTCATGGGAGTCCAATTCCATATGAAGTTTCTGTTGAACATTTGGCAGCTCATGATTAATGACAATGTGAAACATTTATTTGGTTCTCCATCCTCTTGCAATGGACTACCATTTCCCCAAACAACTTTTTGTGTTATAACAATTTAGTACTTCATGGGTTGGTTCACTGGGTTGATGTACTTTGACAGGAATTTCTCACTTTCAAAGGGCCAGGGTTGTTCTGTTGGATTGTCAAGGATTAAGACGTGTGCACGCACAAGGGTGTGCATGTGTCCATTGTTACCAGATTCTAGTAGTACTTGTTGTTCTCATGTCAGAAAAAGAGAAACATGTTGAAGTTGTAGGATAGAGCTTTACCTTATAGAGGAGGCAGAGTGGACTGTAACCAACGGAGAAGCCCAATTCCAAAAGATGAGCTGCTTCAAGACTTTTATAGATCAACTCCAGGAAGCTGTGCTATGCCATGGGAGGCGTGCCATATCAGATTACTACTGTTGGCATGGGCTTGGCTTTACAGATGTTCCTGCTGGATGATGTACAGGTCAGTAATGTTACTCATTGTCTGCCTGCCTGCCTACCTGTCAGTCAGTCAGTCAGTCCACTCCACTGTCTCATGTCTGTCTGTATAATCTCTCTGGCCTGGAGTCCTTTCTGTCCCTGGCTCTTTTGCAGATCGAGGCCTTCTATGTTTCTCTGATCCGTCAAGAGGAACTGCCCCATCCCTACCTTCAGGCTAGTGAGCTGCAGCGGTTTGACACCCATCAGCAAACTCATGCCATGGTTAGTGGATCTCAATAATGCCTCTTCCATTTTTAAATTGACTTTGGGCAGTGTCTCCATACCTTTTGGGTCCTCTCCTATGTCCTGCTGTGGTTCATGTCTCAAGCCTTCAGTGCTCCCTGGTACCTCACAGCAAGCTGCCTGTTTGAGACCCTCATGACTGTAAGATCTACAATCTCATCCACTGGATGAGACATTTCAGCCTGTTAACATCCAGCCTACTCTACTTTATCCTCTACATCCTCAACCACTGTTTACCTTGCTCCATTTCTGTATCATCATTTCTACTGTATGTATCCCAACCAAATCACGTGGCTGCTTTCTGTAGCCTAATCTCTGCAGGGTTATTATCGTTGCATCTTGAGAATTACCTGACTGTATAAAACAGGAATGACCATTTCCTTCCCCTTGGGGCATCACTATGGTTACTGCCTTCCATACTCTTCCTGTGTCAGTGTGACCATGGTTACAAAGCGCAATTCTTGACTGACTCCATAGTTACAGTATCACATACCTCTTTTTTGCACCGTCACAATGGTTTCTGTCTCTTTCCTAATAAAAAGCATGAGCTGGGGCACACCCAGAGAACATCACTTGGTGTAGAGGTGCTGACTAACGGCGAATAAACTGTAAGCTATAAAAACAAATAAAGAGAGTCGCACACTCTATGTATAAACTCCCAGTAATTGATTGGGTAAGAAACCACCAACGTTTTGGCATCACTGTGCCTTCTTCGGGGTAATGTCATGAACGCTTGAACCTGGTTATGTAGACAAACAGTGCAATTAGTGCAACCAATGACAATAGTGAGGGGTGTGTCGTAATTGCTTGGTTAATCAGAATGAATTGAGCGAAACTGTTAAAAGACAATAGCCCATGGCATATTGAATATATTATGCCATTGTTATCATTAGCATTAGCATAACATTAGCATCAACATACATTGTTTCATTTAATTTCACCTTTATATTTAAATATTTCCAATTTCATTAAATGTTTTTGTTACATGTAATCTTTTGGTTCAACCATAATGCATAATAAGCATAATCAACAGGGGGAACATATTGGGTGTACGCTGATAAGCTGTAGAAAGAATACATTCATTTTCAAGACCTGTTCACAGAAAATATAATTGGTCATAAGAAGGGCCTGAGATCAAAGTCAATATTCAGACCACTAGGGGTCAATGTTTTTAGATAGAATATCCAGTAGGCCTCCCTCTGTAGTAGTAGGGTCTCGATGTTACCTCCTCTCCTTGGTAGAGTAAAACACTCAATACCTGTGTATTTGAGGGAGGAGATGGGATGGTTAGCTTCAACAAAGTGGGCTGCTACTGGATAGTCAGTGTTCTTACACCTGATTGAGCTGCGGTGTTCAGCTATGCGTTGTTTTAATTGTCTTTTCGTTTGTCCTACGTAGGCTTTCCCACATCTACAGCTGATGAGATAGATTACTCCCTTTGTCTTGCATGAGATGAAACTCCTAACAGGGATTTTACAACCTGTATGTGGGTGTCTGAAGAAGGATGTTTTTGTAGTGCTATTGCACTGTGCACATGAGCCACATTTGTAGTTCCCATTTGGAATAGGTGTCAAGAGTGTCTGAGTGGGCTCAGGGGGCAGGTCAGATCTCACTAAGCTATCCCCAATATTGCGACCACGCTTATATACCACCAGTGGGTGTTCCTTGAAGAGGTGTGCAATTTTTTTGTCTGACTGCAGAATATGCCAGTGCTTTTTCAGGATTGCTTTCATTTTCTCCGAACACTTGGTGTACTTAGTGCAAAACACTGTTGCATTGTTTTTCTGTCTCTTTCCTGACAGTGTATTAATGTGCCTTACCTTTCGCTGAGCATGACACAGAGACTCTGCCATAGCCTACAGTAAGAGCTTCACATCCACTCTGTCTCATTTTTCACATTGTATTGATGAATTACATTCAGTAACAATTGATAAAATCATACATTTCAGTTTTTCCAACCTCACCTGTCCCTTGGTCTGTCTGTTTCTCCTTCTCTCTCTCTCTCTCTCATCTCTCTCTCTCTGATAGGGATGAGTGTGGAGCTGCTGGCGATGCTGGTGGCCTCTGTGATTCAGGCTCAGGTTGTGACTGTATTCTACACAGAGAGGGCTGGGGCCTGGCAGCAGCTGGACCAGAGACAGGAGCTGCCTCACAACACTCCTTCACCACAAACCGATACACTACAGGCCACGGTACTACTTCCCCTCTGAGACACACTGCAGAAGGACATGGTGCAAGTAACTGTTTCCCAGTCTCAAACCCTAACCTAAGCCAGCACTGAAGGACATAACACTATCCTACTATGTTAGCTTAGCAGAATTTCTTTGTCTGTGGAAGTGAACTTACCTATGGTGCCAGGGATATCATATTACACTGTAATTAACTGTTCTTAGCACAACAAAGGCCATTATTGTGAGTGTGTGTACACGTGGGAGTGTGCATTTCAAGGACGTGAGTTTCTCTTGTTTGTTTACCCATAGGCCTGTGCGTTTTATGCATACATGTGAATCACTTGTGTTTGTGTAGCTTTGTTTATCTGTGAGGTTTTGTGTATTTTTCCCTAGTGTAAGGTTTTCCTGACCTCAGCGCTGGTCATGGGTGGGCTGTTCTTCCTCTGCTGCCTGGTCCTCTTCCTGGGGGTGAAAGAGCAGCGGGGTGAGTCAGCGGTCAGAACACTGGAATTAGGGTTAAAGAGTGGTTAGTTTAGAACTGCTAGAGCAAAGCACATGGGAGGTCAAGGCTCAGTAGAACGTGTTCAAGAGTCTAGTGCTGGAAGGTGGGATAAATGATGGATAGTCTTGGAACTACACCTCTCTCTGATTTTGTCTCCAGCTCCCCTCTCTAGTCTGGATAGAGTGTATGTGTCCTATCTTTCCATTCTAAAGATACTATTGTGCCACGTTCCTTACCAACGACTGATCCTTGGCTTCCTCTTTGCTGCACTTGCCTTCTAGATAAATCATTGCGTGGACTGCATCCAAATATATCAACAACAAATGAATAATTCTTGAAACAACTAACGCCCATTTGTCCCTTCTTAGATGTCTTTGGGGAACTTTGCACTGTTCTGTACCCATGCAGCTGGGCTTGGGTCCCAGTTCCAGCACCTTCTGTCTCTGCTGGTAAGATGTTGCTTGTTGCTACACACAGTTCTGTCAACTTCACACATAATTGTATCACACACCCCACACCCTCTTGACTGCAAAAGGACGGTCTGATTGGCCCAATACACAGATGACAGAACACAATTGTTATCCAATCTGGCATATCATACTCTTTATGATTTGATATATGTATGTGTAGCTGGTATTCGTCTCTGCAAGCTAACCACTTATTCCTTATTAAAGGGCAAAAACTATAGCCACAAGACATTCTCTTGTTAGTGTTTAATATCTGGGATGGTTGTTTGTTTGTCCTAACAGATTGCAGCAACTATAGCTGTTCCACTGTTGCAGGCATCTCTGGTATGGGTTTGGAACTAGATCACACTCTTCATTGGTCTGTGAGCACAACATTGTTTCTCCCTTCATGACAATGTTTATGCTTACAGTAATAATAGTCCATTCGAATTACTTACTGTGTGTGTGAAATTATTATGTTTTCGTATTTACTGCCAGTCTTCGTGACCATGTGTGTGATGCTATGATTCAGCTTGGCAACCATGTTCCTGTTGCCTTGGTGAGTCTGCAGTTAGGGCTGTGTCTCTGCTCTCTACTGTAATCTGCTCCAGTTCTGTCTCTGCCTCTGTCACTCTGAATGACACTCAACACACACAAAATGCTGACTTGATGATTCATTCATAAACCCCCATGACAGCCTGTCAAGTGTTGAATATTCTGAAATGCTGATATATGCTGATCTGACACTCAACCATGACATTACATTGAGTCATACATCCACCTTCTCCTCCTCTCCCGTTCTCTCCCCCTCATTATGTAAAATCTAATTTCATGTTTCTATCACCATATTATCTCAATTTATGTTATGTATTTAATGCATGTGTGTGTATAATTTGTGTTTGTATGTATGCTTGGTTGTACTGCAGCTTTGTTGGGTACACTATTAGAAAAAAGGGTTCCAAAAAGGTTATTCAACTGTCCCCATAGGAAAAACCTTTTTGGTTCCAGGTACAACCCTTTTCGGTTTCAGGTCGAACCATTTTAATGGTTCTTCATGGAACCCAAAAGGGTTCTACCTGGAACCAAAAGGGGTTCTACCTGGAACCAAAAGGGGTTCTACCTGGAACCAAAAAAGGTTCTACCTGGAACCAAAAAGGGTTCTTCAAATGGTTCTGCTATTGGGACAGCCAATTAACCATTTTAGATTTAAGAGTGTACTGTGCAGTTGCCTGTAGCCAAAGTGAGGATGTGGTGACTGCTCTGATTGTGCTGTTTGCCCCTCTGCCCATCACCCTGCTACTGATAGGGCTGGTCTTCTTCCACCTGTACCCCATCAACGAGGAACAACGCCTCCAGCACCAGAGAGAGCAAGGCAGAGAGTGAGTCATGCACACTCTTGGCTCTCTTTCTAAGAGGCCGCTTTAGTGCTCCTACTCTGACAATAGCTTCTTCTAAATCCAACATACTGCATCACACCTTCACTTACACATGCCTGAGTTTATGCTTCTTCTCAAACATCCTGCCCCAAACTTCCTCTCTTATTGATGTTTTGTATTTGCATGACATTGAATATGTGTAGCCCTAGGCCAATAACTGTTTTCTTGTTATCCTTCTATTCAGGGTTGAAGCCATACATTAAACTGATGGAGAAGATGAGATAGGATCTACACGCAGTCATCAGTCCAGACGCCAACCACACGAGCCTAGTCTGAAGTCAAGTGTCAAGTCACAGCCAACTAAATCCTGTTGTGTTTCAGACAAGTCTACCTCGATATGTCACAACAACCTCAAGAGGCTCCAAAAAGATGAATAAACCAGTCATACATATCTGCTCACCACAATCAACAAGAGTCCAGGGCCGGTTTTAATTCACATTCACAAGAATCTATGCCCAACTCAGAACACATTCCACAGAAATCTAGGCCAGATTTGAATCACTGCTCACATAAATCTGATCACATGATGTCTACTAAGGAGGCTGAAGGAAAGTCTGAAGTTACATTGGTCTAAAAACAACTACGAAAAACACATTTAAAAAGTGTATATAATTATTGTGCTGTATTCTTCATGTTTCTTGTAGGGCTGTGTTGACCCGACATAAGGAAATACAAATCAAATATTTTAATATTTAGGATATATATTTTTGTTAAGAGGAAAAGCAAACATTTCCATAACTTAATTAGAAAATGTGAATATGTATTTTTTCATATACACTTTAAATAGGCCTGGGTGTAACGATGACGCTGGGAGTCAGGAAGTAGGTGGTGAGTTTGATAATCATAAAGAACATAGCGCAATACAAAACAAGAGCAGCGTCTGGACACGAACACAGAACCAATACTGCCTGAAGAGTGATGCTAGGGAGTGCTAGATAAAGGGGAAGTAATCAGGGTAGTGATAGAGTCAAGGTGTGCCTCATGATGGGGCGCAAGTGTGCGTAATGAGGGTTGCCAGGTGTGCGTAATGATGGGTTGCCAGGAACGGTGGTTAGTATACCGGCGACGTCGAACGACAGTGGGGGAGCGGGAGTAGACGTGACACTAGGGCTACTAGGTCATCTGACATTCATTTAGCTAGCTATCTTCTAGAAATTGTTGACTGTCAGCCTTTGTCATTTCATTTCATGTTCTCATCATCATCAACCTATGATCTCTCTTGCAAAAATGAAAGGACTTGTAAATATCCCGAGACCCGACTTACATAACATAAGTGTTTTGGGTGAAAAATACATGTTACCAAGAAATGTTTTTGGAAAGAATATTGTTATTTATCTTTTATTTATGTGCAAAATTGTCCTCTGTAGTGGTCACTAGTATGTAAACATGAAAAAATTAACATTACAGTAGAAACATAGGTAAAGGGTGGTGCGGACAGCCTAGTACATCACTGGGGCCGAGCTCCCTGCCATCCAGGACCATTATATCAGGAAGGGCCGGAAAATCTTTAAAGACTACAACCACCCAAGCCATAGACTGTTCTCTCTGCTTCCACACGGCAAGCGGTAACGGTGCATCAAGTCTGACACCAACAGGCTCCTGAACCGCTTCTATCCCCATGCCATAAGACTGTTAAATAGCTAACAAAAAATGGCTACACAGACTGGAGTTGACCTTTGTATTTGATTCTTATTTTTGCACTGTCTCTATGCACACTCACAGGGCCCTACACACTACACATGCTGACACTCCAACACACATGCAAACACTCACTCCATAATTTCCTCACACACATAAAATATGCACAAACATTTGCGGCATCCGGGTGTCCAGTACAGAGGACTTTTCTTGATAAGCTCTTATTTAGCTGTTATTTAAGATGGTCATACCATGGATCATTTAGCTATTTGATTTAGAATTGTAGGACCCCTTTAGGGATAAAAAAAAAAAAAAGTACTTTTTTTTTCGTAAAATATTGAATTTGGCCTTTACTACTATATCCCATTGAAACGCATTGAATAACACATTCATAAATGGCAAAAAAAAGTAACAAAAATACATCATATGGAATAAGGTTTTAAAGTGTCTGTCCTATATCTAGGAGATACAGTAAGAAAGGTCAGGATATATATAACACATATTTAACCCCCTATTTTTGGGGGCACAAAACTACCTACATACATCCATTCGTTTGTATGGGTTACCTTCAGATGTCCCATTACACTTCCACTCATGAGAGTCTCCCCTTTCCATAGTGTGGTCATAATACTGTAGTTATCAGTTCAAAACTGATATCTCTAGTTTAAAAATTGACGGATATTTATGAAGATCTTTTTCATTATGTTACTTAGATTGACGCACAGGTGCATCAATGGCCTCTTAAGAATTAATGTGAAAAAATGATTACACAGTCCTGACAACTCACTTAACTATTCCTGAGATATTCACTTACTAGATACAATTTGAATACCAAGCTCACAAAAAAGATTAATACTTACACACACTTCTTTTAAAATGTCCATAAAATGTGCTAATTGATGGCAGCCATTTATTTCAAGAACCAGGAAGATGAAATTGTCAAGGTCACACCCCCACACATGATATAATTGAAAAGCCCAGAATGTCCTCTCAAAGGGACAACATCACTTAATACAGTGGCTTGTATGAGATACGGACCAAAAACTGATGTCCACTAGCGAGGACAAAAATGAATTGCTGGGTCTCAGGAGGATATGAACGATTAGGCACTAATTCTCTTCATAACTGGCATTGACCCATTAATTGCGGTTGCCCTCCCCCTTCCTTGTCTTCAATGCGTTGGGGCATATTCATTACATTGATTCTGTTGGAAAACGTTTCTTAAACGGAAGCAAATGGAACGAAAGGGGGCGGGATCTACCTGAATATGTCCAATAGAAACTCCCGTTTTAGTTTCAAAACCGAACGTTTTACAACTGTTTGGACTAATGATTACACCCCTGGACTTCCAGTTCCGCTTGCATTTTTGTGCGTCGGAGAGACAAAATGGGAGTAGAAATCGAGACCATAACCCCGGGTGATGGTAAGGAACAAACCGCAAATATGATTAAATTGAATAAGTGGATATAGCTACATTCTAAATATGAAGTTGTTTACATAATGCCTGGCTAATTTTCGCCCTTTCTTCAATCTTTTAGGCCAGACATTTCCCAAAAAAGGGCAGACATGCGTTGTGCATTATGTTGGTAAGTCAGCGAGCGAGCTAGCTAGCTAGCTAGCTAGCTAGCTAGCTATTATCAGTTGTCCACTTGCGTCGGCAACAATGTAAGTGAAAATCTAATCTGCAACACTGATATTGTCTGATAAACTACATAACTGTCACACAATTTTCTTATCTAATTAAAAGTAAGTCGTTTTTCTACGACTAGTAGCTAAAGCTAGCTATCTAACGTTAGCTAACTAGCTTATAGCTTGCCAGTTTTCTGCTGAAAACCAGTGAGAATTAAAGATTAAATCTGATGTTAACCAACTATACCTATTTTTTATTTTTATAGCTAAATTAGTTTACTAGATACTGTGGATGTTTATTTATCCAGGGGATTGATATTTTATCATGGATGCTATCAAACGGTAACTAGCTACAGTTTTTGTGAGGGGACAAAAATGCTCTATCGCACGCAGGCTCACTGACTGATGGAACCAAGTTTGACTCATCCCGGGACAGAGGCAAGCCTTTCAAGTTCAAGATTGGCAAGCAGGAGGTGATCCGTGGCTGGGAGGAGGGGGTTGGACAGGTAAGAAGGTTCTCCTGGGTGTGTGGCCCAGTTGGTAGAGCATAAGCTTGTAATGCCAGGGTTCAATTTCCACGGGGGACCAGTACGAAAAATGTATGTGCTCACTACTGTTAAATCATGAGCCACTCTGGATAAGAGTGTCTGCTAAATGACTAAAATGTAAATTTAATGATTAAACCAATTTTCATTCATTTGGAAAATCCAAAAATGTGTTTAGGAGTGATTTGCAAGGACACAATGTGAGGGTTATGTTATTGAATGACATCTTCAAAATAGGACCTATTTTGTTTCAGATGAGCGTGGGCCAGAGAGCGACCCTGACCTGCACGCCAGACTTCGCCTATGGCAGCAAAGGGCACCCTGGCATCATCCCACCCAACTCTACACTCATCTTTGATGTGGAGCTGATGAGCCTGGAGTGAAGCCTGTGTGCACTCGTTACGTGTTTAATTCCACTCAGATTTTCAGGGTGAGAGAATTCTACAAACAATCGTCTACAATAATTGCGCTCCACTGTTGGTGTTTAACTACAGAGTAGATTAGTGGTAAGAGCTTAAGAGCTCATTAGAATGTGTTTTACAAGCTTTGGTGCTCATCTCCCATAATCCCCTCTGTCGTGTCTCTTCTGTTAACCACAGAACTGTATCCCTGTCCCCCTCTGCAGGTTGACTCCTATCTTGGGAACATGGAGGAAAATGTTAAAGGAAGATTAATGCACTTGACTCCTGTAAAAGACTGTCTAATAGCTTCACCACTTCACTCTCCTTCCCATTTAGATTCAAATGTGTTTTTGTCACTTGCTTAATACCTTATCCTTGATCTAGCTTGTCGTAGAACACCCTAACAAGTCATAGGCCATACCTTTCAGATATCATGTCATTTTATTCTGTTACGTATGTTTATGGTATTGTTTTTTCTTTTTACTTCAAATGTGTAAGTCATGCCTGCCATCAGGGGTAGGTACTGACACAATTTGGGATAAAGTATCATTACACAAATATTCAATTTGAACTCATTCTTGTGGCTCCGTGAGTGGCCTTGCTTTAGCAACTTTTTTGAAAATGTGTTCAATGTGGACATGATAATTGAGAAAAAAAATCAATAAATGACTATTTACCTAAATGGATTGGGTTAATGTAATTTGATTACAGAAGCTAACTTAAATTAATATTAGTGATTTTTTTAGTATATAGATATTTTTCAGTTGCATCAACCTTAACTTTCTGTATGAAACACTGAATAGCACGGCACAAACTGTCTGTTGGCAAGACCAAATATACACACACACACACAGAGTACCAATCAAAATTTTGGAAACCTACTCATTCAAGGGTTTTTCTTTATTTTTACTATTTTCTAAATTGTAGAATAATAGTGAAGACATCAAAACTATGAAATAACACATGGAATCATGTAGTAACCAAGAACGTGTTAAACAAATCAAAATATTTCAGATTCTTCAAAGTAGCCACCCTTTGCCTTGATGACAGCTTTGCAAACTCTTGGCATTCTCTCAACCAGCTTCACTTGGAATGCTTTTCCAACAGTCTTGAAGGACATCCCACATATGCTGAGCAATTGTTGGCTACTTTTCCTTCACTCTCCGTTCCAACTCATCCCAAATCATCTCAATTGGGTTGAGGTTGTGTGATTGTGGAGGCCAGATCCTCTAATGCAGCACTCCATCAATCTCCTTATTGGTCAAATAGCCCTTACACAGCCTGGAGGTGTGTTGGGTCATTGTCCTGTTGAAAAACATGATATTCCCACTAAGCGCAAACCAGATGGGATGGCGTATCGCTGCAGAATGCAGTGGTAGCCATGCTGGTTAAATGTGCCTTGAATTCTAAATAAATCACAAGCAAAGCACACCTCCATGCTTCACGGTGGGAACCACACATGTGGAGATCATCTGTTCACCTACTCTGCGTCTCACAAAGACACGGCGGTTGGAACCAAAAATCTCAAATTTGGACTCATCAGACCAAAGGATAGATTTCCACCAGTCTAATGTCCATGCTCATGTTTCTTGTCTCCTGAGTGACGCAGTGGTCTAAGGCACTGCATCGCAGTGCTAACTGTGCCACTAGAGATCCTGGTTCGAATCCAGGCTCTGTCGCAGCCAGCCGCGACCGGGAGGACTCATGGGCAGCGCACAATTGGCCTAGCGTTGTCCAGGGTAGGGGAGGGAATTCCCACGGGGGACCAGTATGAAAAAAATATATATATGTATTCACTAACTGTAAGTCGCTCTGGATAAGAGCGTCTGCTAAATGACTAAAATGTAAATGTAAAATGTCTTGGCCCAAGCAAGTCTCTTCTTATTGGTGTCCTTTAGTAGTGGTTTCTTTGTAGCAATTCGACCATGAAGGCCTGATTCACGCAATCTCCTCTGAACAGTTGATGTTGAGATGTGTCTGTTACTTGAGCTCTGTGAAGCATTTATTTGGGCTGCAATCTGAGGTGCAGTTCATTGCTGATTTCTGAGGCTGGTAACTCTAATGAACGTATCCTCTGCAGCAGAGGTAACGCTGGGTCTTCCATTCCTGTGGCAGTCCTCCTGAGAGCCAGTTTCATCATAGCGCTTGATGGTTTTTGCGACTGCACTTGATGAAACTTTTATTAAAGTTCTTGAAATGTTCTGTATTGACTGACCTTCATGTCTTAGAGCAATGATGGACTGTCATTTCTCTTTGCTTATTTGAGCTGTTCTTGCCATAATATGGACTTGGTCTTTTACCAAATAGGGCTATCTTCTGTATACCCCCCCCCCCCCCACCTTGTCACAACACAATTGATTGGCTCAAACGCATTAAGAAGGAAAGAAATTCCACAAATTAACTTTTAAGAAGGCACACCTGTTAATTGAAATGCATTCCAGGTGACTACCTCATGAAGCTGGTTGAGTTAATGCCAAGCGTGTGCAAAGCTGTCGTCAAGGTAAAGGGTGGCTACTTTGAAGAATCTGAAATATAAAATATATTTTGATTTGTTTGACACTTTCTTGGTTACAACATGATTCCATAGTTTTGATGTCTTCACTATTATTCTACAATGTAGAAAATAGTAAAAATAAAGAAAAACCCTTGAATGAGTAGGTGCTTCCAAACTTTAGACCGGTACTGTATACATATATATTAAATGTGTAATTAAAGATGGTCATTATTATAGTACAGAACTCACAGAACATGCTGGCAAGTATAGTTGCCTCTCAAGCAACAAAATGGGTCAATTTCCTATGGTATGTTTGAATAAAAAGATCACCCTTTAACACCCTGATAGTGTTTTTTAAACTAGGATAGTTTGGTCTGATTTCTTCATTAAATGTTCCTTGTATCACTGTTTTTATTCTGTTGCACAGTATCTGACAAATGGTTCTCAACTGTAGACCAATTATTTATAGTGATGCTCTGAGAAGTGCTAAGGACATGTTTGAAATCCATTAGTAATCACAAAGGAATGCAAAATTGAAAACCTTTGTTTTGGGCCAAACACATTTGCATTCCCAGTACTGTTTCATTTTACCATTGCATAATATTTGTGAAGTTGCATGATTTTGTTTTCAGAGGAGGTTTAGTTAAGTTCTAAAAGCAAAACTTGATCTGTGATTAAAATTTTATTCACACCCAGTGCCACAGCACAGATTGTAAGGAACATCAGCAAGCTATGGATCTGTAAAATTACACCCCCCCCCCCCCAACACAATGAGTCAACTCTCACCCCATTGGTTAATAAAATAAATTCCATTCCTCATCAAGGGCTTTGGATATGTTCTATCAACATCAAAGAGACTTCAAATGTATTTTTATTTCATATTGATTCCCAGGTGTCTCTAATTCTCCCAGAGCAGATTTCAGTAGATGACAAACAGACAAAGGCAACGTTCAGTTTATTTTCAAAGGGAAGAGGAAATACATCCAGATCTATTTACACTTTGTATTCTACAGCTTTTCGTGCAATTTTATCAACTCTTGTAAAGACTTCTAATCATAGCTTTTTCTTATTGCTTTTGACCTCTGAATTTGAATAATTGAGAAAAATCTATCGCTGTAGCATTAGCGGCATAATGCGTCTCAAAAGAAGACTTGCATGGTTAATGTTTGAAGAAATGCAAAGCCACTACAAACTTCAAGTAGTATAGTCCCAAAAGTGGAAAAAAGTGCAATGTTTGAAAGAAATATTGAGCCTTTTGAAAACAATTGATAAATTCCTAATATTGTAAATGTTGAAATTCCAACAATAAATACATACATTACTGGCATTTTGTAATGACTTGCACTGGCATTCAGCATTTGGACATGGATAGTGACAGTGCTAGTCTTATTCAGAATTTTTCTTTTATCCCTGGACTATATATAAAATAAATGAAACCAGAAGATAAACTTTTGATCCCTGAAATGTAATAGATTCTCTATCTCCTGGTCGATGTGCAAACATATCTACTTTCCCCATCCTCTACTTTCTTGAGAAAATAAAGAATTCGAAGACATTCAACTAGAACTCCTACTCAGGTCCCTCATTCACTTAGCTCTAAAAACTCAAAGAAAATGTTGCTGATGTTTTTAACAAGATGAACCATGTTCACCCTAATTTCAAAGACAACACATTTGTACATTTTAGTCATTTAGCAGACGCTCTTATCCAGAGCGACTTACAGTTAGAGAGTGCATACATTTTCATACTGAATCACACGAGAACATTCATGGAGCATACAGTACATCAACGTGTTCAAGGTTAAAACGTAGCAGGTGTGTATTTGGAGGCTCTGTTTAAGGTGAGTTAATGGCAAAGGGTTGAACATTTCTCAGGCTTACATGCAATGAGCTGTACAGTCATGGGAGCCACTCTGTAGACCTGTGGCAAAAAGTATATTTAAGCAGGCTCACGCATTCCCCATCAAATGCATTTGATTTCCTTGATAGCAAGGCATGATTAAAAATCGAACAGAAAAAGACTAGACCTATACAATTGGCCTAATTCATGTCAGCTGTAACCAATGAACTCAATTCACAAGGGTCAACTGCAATACAATCGGATCATGTAAATCTCAAGGTCATCCTCAAATCAGACCAGTGGTGGAGAAGAAAAATCAATATAAGTTCAAGTCCAAATCAAAGTCTGTATGATTGCTGTTCTGGCTGTGACTCGTAAGAGGTTGGGGTTGCATGGTTGCTGTGAGGGAAGTCAGGGGACTAAGGAGTAAAGTTGTCAGATATTGGTCGCCCCATTCATGCTTGTGGGGGCACGGCCACTGCCACGTCCCGAGCGTCGCAGAGATTGAAGGGCCACAGCGCAGCAGCCCCGTAGCAGAGAACCGATGTGGTACGCAGGCATGACCTCCCGCGAGGCCCCATGGCACAGCCAGGCCACCGTCGGCACCACCGGCATTGCCACCGCCAACAGGTCCACCAGTAAGTATCGGCTCCAGAAGTTCCGCTGGGGAGCCCCGTCCTCCCCCTCTTCCCCTCCCACAATGTTTTCACCTTCAACTTCAACAGCCTCAACAGCTTCACCCTTCTCTTCATCCTCCACCACTGTCGTGCCTCCTTGCCTCTCTGGTGACAACAGTGGCCCAGGCTTGGGCTCGCAGGTTTGGGCCACTGTTGGCATCATTGTCATCTCCACATGGCCATCTGGAGGCAGCGGCTCTAGGTTGTAGGAGAGCTGGGGAGGAGGGGAGGAAGACAAGGAGGGAGGGAATGGCTGGGGGGGAGAGGAGGAAGACAAGGAGGGAGGGAATGGCTGGGGGGGAGAGGAGGAAGACAAGGAGGGAGGGAATGGCTGGGGGGGAGAGGAGGAAGACAAGGAGGGAGGGAATGGCTGGGGGGGAGAGGAGGAAGACAAGGAGGGAGGGAATGGCTGGTGGGGAGAGGAGGAAGACAAGGAGGGAGGGAATGGCTGGGGGGGAGAGGAGGAAGACAAGGAGGGAGGGAACGGCTGTTGCTCTGAGTAGGCTGGGGTGATGTCGGTTGTTTCCAGGGAGATGATGCTCAGCTCCTCTCCCCCTCCTTCCTCTGAGACCCAGGTCATGGTGGGGCTGCAGGCCTGGGATCGGACCTCCGGTTTCGCCTCCCTCACGGGGACAGCAGCAACCGCTGCCAATGCAGCCGGGGGCTCCTCCTGGGGGAGGTGAAGGAAGAGGTGGTGATGAGGGAGGTAGGTGTGTCCGCTGCACCTGCAGCTGTTATTCAGGGAGTGGCAGGAGTGGGAGACTGGCAGCAAAGCCCCTCCACTGCACAGCCTCTCGTAGGTGGAGGAGCGTGGCATGGTAGAGGAGGAGGGGCCGTGGATCAGGGCGGGGCCAGACGGGGTTTGCTGCTCTGACAGAAGGGCCGCCTCCAGATGCAGATGGGTCCGCCCCCTTTCTGCCCGTGCCGCTGCACGCGGGTCAGGCCCTGGGGCGTTTCCATTGCGGTCCACATGCAGGGCCTCACTGCTCAGCCGGGTGTAGGTGGTGCTGCGGCTCAGGGTGCTGGCTGGGGAGCACCCACAGGAGCGGGACCTTGCTGTCCGGGGTCCCTGCGGTGAGAGGTATGGCTTTTGTCCGTAGGGGGCTTTTTCTGGGGTGCCGAGGTTTGATCGTACTGTCTCCACGACCTCGTGTAAGTGCTGGATCTCCCTGCGCGCCTGCTTCAGAGCCAGCTGGGCCTCCACACGGTGACACTCCTCCACTATCCAGTCCTCCTGCATCCGACACAGCTGGGTCTTCATCTCAGCTATCTCACTGTCCCTGTGAGAGAGAGAAAGAGAGAGAGAGAGAGAGAGAGAGAGAGAGAGAGAGAGAGAGAGAGAGAGAGAGAGAGAGAGAGAGAGAGAGAGAGAGAGAGAGAGAGGTTGAGAGTATGTGGGCTACCTAGGGCAGAGAATCAATGATTGGTATGCCTTAAAGATGGAATCCGTATTAGGGGAAACAGCACCACTATCCACCCCTGCACTTTTGTTATTGTTTTGTGGACAAAACAGATGGTAAGGTGCGTTGAGCAGTGTGGTAAAAAAATGGCAGTACATATTCTGCTGTTCTATCGAACGTGCAATGATGTCAGAGGGGGAAAAAAACAGTGTTCGTGGTTTGCAGTAACTTCTTTGTTGTTGTAATATCCCAAACAGACGTGGCAGTTTCACCATGAAGGATTCCAGCTTTAAAAGGTCTTAGAGATACTATCCCAGGCCAGTTTCTGTAGTGAAATGCTAGACCGTTATTGATGTTGATATTTTTGTAATCATAGTGTGGTTGCATGCAACCCAAGAGTTGGGTTGTGGAAGAGCCACTTTTATGAGATCTACAATATGCTATTTTTAAACAAGTCAGCCACTTCCTATCTGAAAAAGATTCCGCTTCTTTGTCACGACGCATCCCTTCAGACTCACCTGTGCTGCAGCGTCTGGACATTCTCCCTCAGCCTGGCTCGCAGGTGTCTGATACACACCTCCTTCTGCTGCAGCGGGGTGAGGTACTGCTCTGGTGTGGGGGGCCAAATCCCATGGTTATCACTGCAGGTTGCATGCTTCACCTGATGCCTGGGTTTGCATAGGGGTGTTTATAGTGATTATCAGTTATGCATCAGATTATCAGATAATGAACTGTAAAGAACTGTCATCATAAGAGAGGTTGAGGAAGAGGAATTCGTTTTCACTGAGGTGAGCAGCCGGCTTTATATCTTATGAGTAGATGTCAGTGGGGTTTTTATGCAAGCTCTGCACCTAATAAATTATGAATCTCAAGACTACATTACATTTTTAATTTGCACCTTATTCTAAAAACATTGGCTCTGTTTTCTTCTGAATCATCTTTAATGCATGATATTTTGGCCTCGACCAAAAAAAATAAGATTCTTAAAACAAAATTATGTTTGCATGGGTCTTGCATATGATGTACAGATGATGTGTTTTACCTGGGTGTGCCAGGATATGTCCGGGCTGTAGGACTGCCCTCACTAGCCCTGCCGGGGTAAGTGTTGGTGGGGTAAGTGTTGGTATTGGAGGCATCGCTATAGGAATGGCGCCCACTGCTAGTGGCCACTGACCGCCTGTAACAGAGAGGCTATGTTAATGTTACATATTGATGAGACCATCAGTCACTAACATTAAGAAAACAAACAAAATCAATGCCTTGCTTCCAACAACTCACTCACTATACATGTGGCACCATATTACCCTAACATGTGTGTGCTGCTTGGTGCAGTCATTTTCATACATCATCACTTGAGATCATCACACATTAGCAAAAATACCATATAGGGAGAGAAGGGAGCAGCATTACCTGTGCTGACCTGCAGAGGGCTTCCGACTTTGAGGGAGTGACATGGGTGTGGACCACCGCTATCGCTCTGCTGCTGGCTCGAAGAGGAAAGCTAGGAAGATGGCTCACAGCTGGACTGCACAATACATAATGTTCAAACATAGAGAAAACAGAATGGATGTAGTCAGGAGATAATCTGTTAAAAACTATAGTGGAAAAGCAATACATTTTGTTGGCATTTCCTCTGCCTACCAGATACCACTTTTAATCTCTGGGCAAGGACATAGTCCTATGTCATCCCACTGGGCACACACTGGTTGAATCACTTAGATTTTTGGTTGAGATGAAGACGTGAATGCAACATATAAATTATTAATTTGTAGACAAACAGGATATTGAATTGTGTTTGGTTGTCAACGGAACCAAATATCAACATTTGAAGAAGATGTATCTTCTGCTTGGATAGTTCCATCTCTGCCACTTAGTCTGGCTTTAATTCCAGTTTGTCTACAAATTAATAATTGATATGTTGGATTCACATCTCCAGCTCAACCAAAAATCGAAGTTAAAGAATAGGACTAAATCAAATCAAACTATAAATGCACTTTAAATGAAGTTTGATTTGATTTAGTCCTATTCATTAACTTTGATTATTGGTTGAGATGGAGACGTGAATCCAACATTAATGTATTCATTTGTAGACAAACTGGAATTTGTTGACACTAAACACAATTCAATATCACTTTTACAATACAGTAAATAGCCTATTAACTTGTCGACAAGTTAACAAATTATATGTTGGATTCACGTCTCCAACTAAACCCAAAATAAAAGTTAAATAATAGGATTAAGCCAGAGGCTTAGATGAAACTATGCTGTGTCAACCAAACACAATTCAATAATATGTTTGTAATACAGTAAATAGCCTAATGTTAAGGCTCTTACAAACTAATGTAACAGTATTTATTCAACCTTAAAATGAGTAACACATCCTTGGCCACATTTTGAGGTTAGCCTACTGTAACTATACATATCTTCTTATGTAATCATAGAAAGCGTGCATGTTCAAGATAGCATGCAAAGATCACAGGTCTGTGGAGATCTTCACAATTGCTGTAATAATCTGCAAAGAATCTTAACAAGTTGTTGTATAAATACAAAATATCGGACATTGTATTCCCATTTGAACTTTGTTGTGCTTTTAAATGGTTGAAAGCGCAGATAATACATTTAGATGACAACTAAACCGAAACATCTGACATTGTTTTTCCATTGGAATTTGGTAGTGCTTTTAGATGGTTGAAAGCATAGTGATAACACATTGGGATATCAACAACCTTCTGGCAGTCTTTTTGAGTGGGTGAATAAAGGTTGAAATCTCATTGATCAACGTCTCAACCAAATATTATCTGCATTTCCACTTTGAAATGATGTGGTGTGCCCAGTGGGATGGACTCAAACTGTCCATTAAAGAAACACATTCAACATAAGACAATTAAGTATTTTGACTGCTTGTTGTGGCCCTGACTGCCCTGCCTGTTAGGAGCCCATTGATGAGTAAACCAGTCTGGCTATCAGGAGCCCTTCAACAGATAAAGAAGCCTTTCACAGGACAGACACAAGGCATTCTGTGAGTTCATCGCCATCTCACTGCTGCACACACCTGGTAACCACAGACAGACAGGAATAAACATAAATCATAATATCCACAGGCAAAATCCAATGAAGAGCAGCAAACAAAGAAAATAACAAAACAAAACCAGCCCAGCCCAGCTGGGACAGGGACATATTTTAAAAAATTGTGCAAAACAGGATTGTCTCATCAGCACTTTTGTGGCTGTGACTGAGCTGAGAAGGCTAGCTTTGCTGTACTATCATAGATTAAAAACAATCTCAAACAATATTGGAGCAAAAAAGTATGATCAAAGCGAGAGAAAAAAACTTCTGAGCACAAAGCAGCTCATATACAAAGACAGCATTATACCTGTGATATGCCATGTGATATCGGTGTCTGTTGTCACTGTGTCAATGGGGCAGTTGAGGATAGTGCATTTGAGCAATACAGGAAAGTGGCAGAGGAAGGGATCACAACTAGGCCTACCCTACAGGACCCTTGGATAATGATTGAGGACTCCCTGTGCAACAGGTTGTGGGGACATGCAATGTACTTATTCGGTAATAGTGAGCATCAGGCGGCATAACTGTAGGATTGCATGTACGGGTTGCATGTACGCGGTCTACGATAATTTGATTGACATTATGCAGTAATAGGGCTATGTCCGTAGTAGGCTACCTAGTTTTCAGTGAAATTACTGAATAAAATTGAGCATGGTGCTTTACATTATCTGTAGAATGCAAAAGGACAAAGGGCGCTGTGGTTTCGTCCTTGAACAAACTGAATATTGCCATCACAATAAAAAAAATTGATAATTCATCTGCGGGCAATGTTGACGAATTGACAAGACGCAGAACGACATGCGAAATATCATTTGCAGCTCTGTGCAACAGACACGGACATCATAGAAAACAACTACTAGTCTACCATAGATTATATGCCAGTGTAAATCTAAAAACAAAATCCTACCAGCCAACATCACTTTCCGGTGAACCTAAACATCCCATCCAATGTTTGGAATCTTAGGGACGAGGTATGAATAGCTGACAAACTAATTTCGTCCAGGCTGTACCCTACATAGGCAACTGATAGGGGATAAAATAAAAGCCTCCTCTCTCATGCAGCGATTACCTGAATGTGATCTCAGACATAACAGTACAGTAAAGATGATGACACGAATCCCAACATATATGCTACCATATTTGCCAGGCCGATAAATAGTCCTACATCCTGGAGTAGAATTGATTCCCGCAGGACTTGTGGATGCTCCGGATTTGTGGTTGAATGCGTGAGAACCGTCACTAGTGGCATGTATATGGATGCTGTGCTGCTGATGAGAATCCATGCGGAGCCAGCCACGAAGAGGACATTGAGGCAATTGCGTAGGACTACACTGCATCGGATTCTCTTAAAGAGACAGTGGATCATGCCGCATCATTCGGCAATTATCTAACACCTACCATTGGTGGGGATGGTCGGGGGATTAAAGCTTGTTAGGCAGATGGTAGCAGCTATTTCACAAGTGTATTTACAAGTGGCAAGGGCATAAGGGACAAGGACATGATCAGAGCATCAGTGATGTAGGCATGTAAAACTCAATACAGACTCATTAAAATCCTTGTCATTGTATCAGCATTACACTTAAGAGTATTAGTTCAACATACTATGGTGAACTTGTACTTCTTTTAATTGAGACTTTACACGTTTTACATTAAGGCTCTTAACATTGAATAAGATTCACCAGGTATATTTATAGATCTTTAGGAATAAAAACACAGTAACAGGTTAAAAAAATAGCTTAGTTAAAAACACTGAACCAAAACCGCCCTTATTACTAAAATTGGTCAATCTAACAAATCTTAGTCTGTCGGCATAATAAATAACAAACCATATTATTCAAACAAGTAAAGTAAAGCACTTGAACAAAACAACAACACAACATTCACAAACTTTTACTGTGACCCAAATAATGTCTTGTAGCAAGCCCTGTTTTCTTACAAAGGGAGTGAGTGACTAACTTGGGTCTGGGTCCTGGGAGATAGTTATGGCACCTCAATGTGCTGTCATAACTATCTCAGTTGTGCTGGTAAGTGCTTTATGTCACAACCCAGTTTGGCCACCTTTATCAAAATGATATTTATTGGTGTATTCAGTTCCTAATCAGCGTCCATCCTCTGAGACGCTACCCTCCTAAGGTCCACATATGACGAGGGTGTCAAGACCACTACAGAGTTTGTGCAGTTGTTGACAGAGCAGTGAGTCTATGAACAAGGCACAATTAGCAGTAAGTCTATGAACACGGCGTCTTCATATCAAAACCTCCTCTTCCCTCCACTACGAGTCCTCCTCTACGCCTCATAGAACCTGGGTCCAGGAGTGGCTATAATGTCAGCGTAAGGCTCGCTTTGGTGCAGGTCCAGGGCCTGTTGTTTCTTCAGCACCAGGAGGCAGAAGAAGGTGGCTGCGGCCTGGGAGCGACTGTTCCTCTCACACAGCGTCTGCAGGCTGAACATTGCGTTGCTTCTCTGAATCTGTTCAGGGACGTCAGGACAACATAGAACATCAGAATTTTGTCTGAGGGATAGGTCAGTTTTTGTTTTATATGAAGGATAAATGTCAGAAATGAAGAGAAAATCCCATCCCTGTTTGTTATTACACAACACACAATCGCAGCAATTTCATTTCCACATTTCCCTAATCCTGCCCTAGCCGCTTTTAAATCCCTGTCCTCAGTGACTGAGGATTTCCGAGTCTGATCGTAATCGAGCTAGCAAGCTGACTAAGTGTAAGAATGGATGCCCTGCTGCATAGGGGTATCGGGTTCTTACTTTGAGAGCATTTAGTAGTTTCTGTGCTCGGCTGGTCATCCTCTTCTCTTCAAAGTCATCCTGGCTATCCACCATAGACTGTAGTTTGAGATAGCAACACATTACAGCGTCACACCACACTCATGATAACCATTTGTGTAAGTGTATCTATGTATGTACAGTGAGGGAAAAAAGTATTTGATCCCCTGCTGATTTTGTACGTTTGCCCACTGACAAAGACATGATCAGTCTATCATTTTAATGTTAGGTTTATTTGAACAGTGAGACAGAATAACAACAACAAAATCCAGAAAAACACATGTCAAAAATGTTATAAATTGATTTGCATTTTAATGAGGGAAATAAGTATTTGACAAGGCAAAACCCTTGTTGGCAATCACAGAGGTCAGACATTTCTTGTAGTTGTCATTAAGGTTTCGAGGCTGACGTTTGGCAACTCGAACCTTCAGCTCCCTCCACAGATTTTCTATGGGATTAAGGTCTGGAGACTGGCTAGGCCACTCCAGGACCTTAATGTGCTTCTTCTTGAGCCACTCCTTTGTTGCCTTGTTTTGGGTCATTGTCATGCTGGAATACCCATCCACGACCCATTTTCAATGCCCTGGCTGAGGGAAGGAGGTTCTCACCCAAGATTTGATGGTACATGGCCCCGTCCATCGTCCCTTTGATGCGGTGAAGTTGTCCTGTCCCCTTAGCAGAAAAACACCCCCAAAGCATAATGTTTCCACCTCCATGTTTGACGGTGGGGATGGTGTTCTTGGGGTCATAGGCAGTATTCCTCCTCCTCCAAACACGGCGAGTTGAGTTGATGCCAAAGAGCTCAATTTTGGTCTCATCTGACCACAACACTTTCACCCAGTTCTCCTCTGAATCATTCAGATGTTCATTGGCAAACTGCTTTCTTGAGCAGGGGGACCTTGCGGGCGCTGCAGGATTTCAGTCCTTCACGGCGCAGTGTGTTACCAATTGTTTTCTTGGTGACCATGGTCCCTGCTGCCTTGAGATCATTGGCAAGATCCTCCCGTGTAGTTCTGGGCTGATTCCTCACCGTTCTCATGATCATTGCAACTCCACAAGGTGAGATCTTGCATGGAGCCCCAGGCCGAGGGAGATTGACAGTTATTTTGTGTTTCTTCCATTTGCGAATAATCGCACCAACTGTTGTCACCTTCTCACCAAGCTGCTTGGCGATGGTCTTATAGCCCATTCCAGCCTTGTGTAGGTCTACAATCTTGTCCCTGACATCCTCGGAGAGCTCTTTGGTCTTGGCCATGGTGGAGAGTTTGGAATCTGATTGATTGATTGCTTCTGTGGACAGGTGTCTTTTATACAGGTAACAAACTGAGATTAGGAGCACTCCCTTTAAGAGTGTGCTCCTAATCTCAGCTCTTTACCTGTATAAAAGGGACCTGGGAGCCAGAAATCTTTCTGATTGAGAGGGGGTCAAATACTTATTTCCCCTCATTAAAATGCAAATCAATTTATAACATTTTAGACATGTGTTTTTCTTGATTTTTTTGTTGTTATTCTGTCTCTCACTGTTCAAATAAACCTACCATTCAAATTATAAACGGATAATTTCTTTGTCAGTGGGCAAACGTACAAAATCAGCAGGGGATCCAATACTTTTCCCCCCTCACTGTATGTATGTATGTATGTATGTATGTATGTATAGTTGAAGTCGGAAGTTTACATACACCTTAGCCAAATACATTTAAACTGAGTTTTTGACAATTCCTGACATTTAATCCTAGTAACAATTCCCTGTTTTAGGTTAGTTAGGATCACCACTTTATTTTAAGAATGTGAAATGTCAGAATAATAGTAGAGAGAATGATTTATTTCAGCTTTTATTTCTTTCATCACATTCCCAGTGGGTCAGAAGTTTTCATACACTCAATTAGTATTTGGTAGCATTGCCTTTAAATTGTTTAACTTGGATCAAACGTTTCGGGTAGCCTTCCACAAGCTTCCCACAATAAGTTGGGTGAATTTTGGCCCATTCCTCCTGACAGAGCTGGTTTAACTGAGTCAGGTTTGTATGCCTCCTTGCTCGCACACACTTTTTCAGTTCTGCCCACAAATGTTCTATAGGATTGAGGTCAGGGCTTTGTGATGGCCACTCCAATACCTTTACTTTGTTGTCCTTAAGCCATTTTGCCACAACTTTTGAAGTATGATTGGGGTCATTGTCCATTTGGAAGACCCATTTGCGACCAAGCTTTAACTTCCTGACTGATGTCTTGAGATGTTGCTTCAATATATCCACATAATCTTCCTTCCTCATGATGCCATCTATTTTGTGAAGTGCACCAGTCCCTCCTGCAGCAAGAGCAGTGGCTTCTTCCTTGCTGAGTGGCCTTTCAGGTTATGTCGATATAGGACTTGTTTTACTGTGGATACAGATACTTTTGTACCGGTTTCCTCCAGTATCTTCACAAGGTCCTTTGCTGTTGTTCTGGGATTGATTTGCACTTTTCGCACCAAAGTACGTTCATCTCTAGGAGACAGAACGCGTCTCCTTCCTGAGCGGTATGATGGCTGCGTGGTCCCATGGTGTGTATACTTGCGTACTATTGTTTGTACAGATGAACGTGGTACCTTCAGGCGTTTGGAAATTGCTCCCAAGGATGAACCAGACTTGTGGAGGTCTACAATTTTTCTTCTGAGGTCTTGGCTGATTTCTTTTGATTTTCCCATGATGTCAAGCAAAGAGGCACTGAGTTTGAAGGTAGGCCTTGAAATATATCCACAGGTACACCTCCAATTGACTCAAATGATGTAAATTAGCCTATCAGAAGCTTCTAAAGCCATGAGATTATTTTCTGGAGTTTTCCAAGCTGTTTAAAGGCACAGTCAACTTAGTGTATGTAAACTTCTGACCCACTGGAATTGTGATACAGTGAATTATAAGTGAAATAATCTGCCTGTAAACAATTGTTGGAAAAGTTACTTGTGTCAGGTGGCTTAGTGGGTAAGTGCGCTGTGCCAGTAACTAGTCGCTAGTTCTAATCCCAGAGCCGACTAGGTGAAAAATCTGTCATGTGCCCTTGAGCAAGGCACTTAACCCTAATTGCTCCTGTAAGTCGCTCTGGATAAGAGCGTCTGCTAAATGACTTAAATGTGTCATGCACAAAGTAGATGTCCTAACCGACTTGCCAAAACTATAGTTTGTTAAGAAATTTGTGGAGTGGTTGAAAAACGAGATTTAATGACTCCAACCTAAGTGTATGTAAACTTCCGACTTCAACTGTATGTACAGTGGGGAAAAAAAGTATTTAGTCAGCCACCAATTGTGCAAGTTCTCCCACTTAAAAAGATGAGAGGCCTGTAATTTTCATCATAGGTACACGTCAACTATGACAGACAAAATGAGGAAAAGAAATCCAGAAAATCACATTGTAAGATTTTTAATGAATTTATTTGCAAATTATGGTGGAAAATAAGTATTTGGTCAATAACAAAAGTTTCTCAATACTTTGTTATATACCCTTTGTTGGCAATGACACAGGTCAAACGTTTTCTGTAAGTCTTCACAAGGTTTTCACACACTGTTGCTGGTATTTTGGCCCATTCCTCCATGCAGATCTCCTCTAGAGCAGTGATGTTTTGGGGCTGTCGCTGGGCAACACGGACTTTCAACTCCCTCCAAAGATTTTCTATGGGGTTGAGATCTGGAGACTGGCTAGGCCACTCCAGGACCTTGAAATGCTTCTTACGAAGCCACTCCTTCGTTGCCCGGGCGGTGTGTTTGGGATCATTGTCATGCTGAAAGACCCAGCCACGTTTCATCTCCAATGCCCTTGCTGATGGAAGGAGGTTTTCACTCAAAATTTCACGATACATGGCCCCATTCATTCTTTCCTTTACACGGATCAGTCGTCCTGGTCCCTTTGCAGAAAAACAGCCCCAAAGCATGATGTTTCCATCCCCATGCTTCACAGTAGGTATGGTGTTCTTTGGATGCAACTCAGCATTCTTTGTCCTCCAAACACGACGAGTTGAGTTTTTACCAAAAAGTTATATTTTGGTTTCATCTGACCATATGACATTCTCCCAATCCTCTTCTGGATCATCCAAATGCACTCTAGCAAACTTCAGACGGGCCTGGACATGTACTGGCTTAAGCAGGGGGACACGTCTGGCACTGCAGGATTTGAGTCCCTGGCGGCGTAGTGTGTTACTGATGGTAGGCTTTGTTACTTTGGTCCCAGCTCTCTGCAGGTCATTCACTAGGTCCCCCCGTGTGGTTCTGGGATTTTTGCTCACCGTTCTTGTGATCATTTTGACCCCACGGGGTGAGATCTTGCGTGGAGCCCCAGATCGAGGGAGATTATCAGTGGTCTTGTATGTCTTCCATTTCCTAATAATTGCTCCCACAGTTGATTTCTTCAAACCAAGCTGCTTACCTATTGCAGATTCAGTCTTCCCAGCCTGGTGCAGGTCTACAATTTTGTTTCTGGTGTCCTTTGACAGCTCTTTGGTCTTGGCCATAGTGGAGTTTGGAGTATGACTGTTTGAGGTTGTGGACAGGTGTCTTTTATACTGATAACACGTTCAAACAGGTGCCATTAATACAGGTAACGAGTGGAGGACAGAGGAGCCTCTTAAAGAAGAAGTTACAGGTCTGTGAGAGCCAGAAATCTTGCTTGTTTGTAGGTGACCAAATACTTATTTTCCACCATAATTTGCAAATAAATTCATTAAAAATCCTACAATGTGATTTTCTGGAATTTATTTTCTCATTTTGTCTGTCATAGTTGACGTGTACCTATGATGAAAATTACAGGCCTCTCTCATCTTTTTAAGTGGGAGAACTTGCACAATTGGTGGCTGACTAAATACTTTTTTCCCCCACTGTATGTATGTATACACTACCGGTCAAAAGTTTTAGAACACCTCCTCATTCAAGGGTTTTTCTTTATTTTTACTATTTTCTACATTGTAGAATAATAACAACATGATTCCATATGTGTTATTCATAGTTTTGATGTCTTCACTATTATTCTACAATGTAGAAAATAGTAAAAAATAAAGAAAAACCCTTGAATGAGTAGGTGTTCTAGAACTTTTGACTGGTAGTGTATATATGTATGTGTGTCTGTGGGTGTATTCAAAGCATGTGAAAGCACCTGTGTGTTCTGTGTCACAGTCAATGGAGTTTCCCTTTCCATTCCAGAAGGATGAACATGCATGGAATCCTCAGACGGGAGCTCAGGGAGAGAGACCTCCAACATACTCCCATCCTGAGAGACAATAAAAAGAGAGAAAATGAGAGAGGGAACAAGGAAAGTTGTCAGACAAAGTTAGACAATGGGATAACCTTCTTGAATAAAGGTTAAATGAAGTATTTTTAAATGGAAAAAAGGCATATTTTGTGTTCATGTTGAGCTCTTTACATTTACTGCGTCCCAGATGTTGTCAGGTGGATTGTCATTCCCATAGTGGTGCAGAGGAGTGAGCTCCACATTGTGTCCCATTCTCTCAGGATCCATAGTCTCATGCAGGACACTGAGCAAGGCGCTCTCATCTGTTTCCACTGTACAGAGACACATAAAATGTATAAACCCAAATAGGAAACATAACAGTTCAAAGGTAATGGGGCCCAGGGGCACTTCAATTCTCCCTATTTCATATAATGGATAGCGTAATGTTTTCAGACGATAATTTCTATAACATGGTGTTGTTCTGTGTAAATATGACCTCCTACCCTCATGTCTCTCCTCTCTCATCTCTTCATGGTTGTCTTCATTGACCACTCCATCTGTTTTCCCCCAAAACACATCCTTGGAATAGAGCTGCAGGGGCAGAATGGGGGCAGTTGTTGAACCAAAATGCACTGCTGCTATACATCACTGGTTACAGATGTGAACTCAATTTCCTCACTTAAGCGTGGAATCCAATATGTATCTATTGTAGGTTTGACTTAGGTGGAACAACATTCTTAAGCTAAACCTGTATTTTTTATGTAACAGATGAGATAAACATTACAGGTAAACATGTCAACCTACATTTGAGTGATGGGACAGATGTTAATTTCACACCCTGCTTACCTGTTGAAGATGTGGATGAATGACAGGGGCACAGAGGTGACTGAAGAGCCTGTCCACTCCTCCACTCTCTTTCCATTGCATGAGTTGGCGGGTAGGCGGGGCGATGTCCAGTGGGGCAGTAAGATCTGAGTAGTCAGAGAGTTGCTCCCTGATGGCCTGGTTGGACAGCTCCTTGGCCTGGTCCACCAACAGTTTCCTTCTCCTCTTCCCCTTCTTCCTCTCTAAGGTCGCTAAGGAAGCGGAGGGCAAACAGAAGGTTTAACTCCAATGGCTTACCTATGCTTCTCACACAAGTTTCCACCACAGTTAATAAGTAACAGGATAGTGTGTTACTTATGTATTTGATGTATGATAGAGGTTGTGCCCAGTTAGATAATTGTGTGTTTGAAGGACAGTAAATGTGCTTATGAGAATGGCCTTGTTGGGGTGTAAAGATGTTGCATGTTAGGCAGGTAAATACTTACGCGTCACAGCGACAGGCTCCAGAGTGAAGCCATCCTCCTCATTGCCCAACAGAGTTGTCTCATTCAGGACAGGGCGATCCTCCTCCATGGGTACAGATGTAGTAGGGGTGTCTGGACAACCTGCAATGACAAGGTTTTGGAATGAAGGGCATGCCGTCTCAGTCTATTAATGTGATAACATAAATTATACACTGGGTGGGTCGAGCCCTGAATGCCGATTGGCTGACAGCCGTGGTATATCAGACCATATACCACGGGTATGACAAAACATGTAATTGTACTGTTCTAATTACGTTGGTAACCAGTTTATAATAGCAATAAGGCACCTCTGGGGTTTAATATTATAATGTATAATGTAATAATGATAAAGCACCCCATTTTGGGAAAAGTTCCAGCACAGGAAAAATCTAATTTACTTTCTGCAAAGTTTATACCAAAGTGAAAATGGCATTATAATAATGAAAGGACAATTTTCCAGTATGCATTGCCACTTGCTGCCAGAGAGGGCGCTTCAACACTTGCACAAAGTAGAACCAAAGATTTTGTATAACTAAACCAAGATAGATCACAGCCTGTCGTTTCAAATGGAAACCAAGGAGCTATAGTGGGCAGAACAAGCAAGGAGGTGGACAGAGCCAAGCACGTGCTAGCGAGATCCTATTGGCGTGTTCTAGCATGCATTTGCATATTTCCGTTGGGGAACACCTACTCTGAAGTGCGCGTGTGCAATAACTCAATTTGTCCTTTGCACTCCTTCTAAACAACACATTGTTTTTGAAACTTTGGCAAAGGGTGAAGTCTATAAAACTTAGTCCACTCTGTTCATACCAGATTGTAGTTTTGGGAACAGAAAACTGTATTGAGATCAAATGTTTCATCGATGAGTAAATTAACAGTATGTCAGCCAAAATCCATCTCGTTCCATCTTCTCCCACTGCCGGCCACTGGGCTTCCTCTCACTACCATATTTGGTAGTGAGTGGAAACGCCAAACGGATGCTTCACATTTATACATCTGGTGAAATATCTGTCTCATTGTTCTATCTGTGGTAGAACTGTGGTCTCATACAGATGGAGACACCTTCATTCCCAAATCTACAGCTACACTGAATATTTTGACAGAGTTAGAAGTTTCCTAAAAGCCCGTAGCAAAATAAACACAAAAAATTACCTTCTTGGTTAACGTCCATCAGAGCAGCCTCCGGCAACACATTTTGTCGTTCGGCTTCGAAAAAGTCAGTCAAAACAGCATGCTCACTGGAACTGGCTATAAAGTCTAAACAGGATTTGGAAAGGGATTTGAGACATTGTGTAGGTTTTCCTTTGAAACATTGTTGATGTGTTCAGATGTGTAACCGATATGTTATCTTGAAGTGAATCTGCTCCTGAGAGTCCAGGTCAGGATGCAGGGTTGGGGAGTATCAGATTACATTTAGAAAGTAACCTACCCAACCCTGTCAGGACGTTACCCAGGATGTCCAAGCCTGTGTCCTCGTCACCAAAAGCATCTCCGTGCTGGGCCAGGCTTAGGAAACTCACGTCTAACATGCCCCCTTGGTGAGACTGGGTCTCATCACCTAAAAATATTAGACACAGTAAGTCAGAGAAAGTTACTGACAGCAATGTGAGTGAAGGAGAGAAAGGTGGGCTATGGTGAGAAGGCAAGATAAAACGAGGGTTTTGAAAGTGAGGGTAAGCTAACTTTGAGAGACACACGCAGGCACTGTGGAGTAGCAACCCTAACCCTTACCAAAGTCCTCAAATGTGAGAAAGCTATTTCCAAAATCCTCTTTGAGGGTGATGTCCTCTGTTCGGCACTGATTCAGTGAAAAATGATCCACAACACCTATGGCACTAGCGTCAGAGAGAGAAAATAACAAATTACTTTTTGATACAAATACTGTGATGTGACGCATCCACACCCCCATGATCTATTGAAACACTGACACTAGCCTAAATGGGGTATTGGGTGCATATCTTTTTGCTTTAAATGTGAGCGGGTGAAATGAGAGAGAGAAAGAAAAACATAGGTACTTTGCGTCTGGTAGCTGGGAATCGAAGTCAGTGAAATCCTCCATTAACGTGATGGCTTTAAGTGTGGCCTCCAGTGCCTCAACAGGCATGTCAGTCTGTCCTGATGGTGACACAAGATTTCAACTGATATATTCTTCCAATGATCAGAATAACATGGTTACTGTCCTTAAAATGTTGACATTGACAACACAAAAAGGATGCCTGGCTAACCTGGTCTGAAGGCCACTTTGATTTTGACAACAGCATCATTGCAGTCAGCAAGGAGATACTTGGCTTTTCTGAAGTATATCCTCACTACTCCCAGGAGTAAGTGGCCAGAAGTTCGCAAGCCGATCTTTATCTAAAAATGATTGCACACATGCAGAGACAGACAGAGGCAGACCTAAGTTATATCAGTCATGTCATAGGCGATGTGCTCATTGTGTGGCTACCAGTATCAGATTTTTTTTTACAGACATTGAGACATATGGCCATTAACAGGAAACCTCAAAAGCATTGTTGAAGTAGACAAGTGTAACATTACATGATGGTGAGCTAACATAGGCCGAATGAACGTTAAAACAGAGGCAAACACATTTCATCCCCTTGTTTGTACCCTTTTGAAGACAGAACAAAGTTTAGCCTAATGTTACCTGTGGGGAAATGATGTCTTTGATGGTGTTCTCCAAATTGCATTCAAACACATGAGCTTTGGTGATTTTCCGCTCCCAATGAGCTGCTAACCAAATTTTGGCCAGAGGCCCGCGCTTGGATGTGAAGAGCTGAGTATAGAACATCATGGTGAAAGCCTTGGCTTGGTGGTCTATCTAACGTAACTTAACTTAGTTCTCCACCTGTTGATAGCTGTGGGGTTTGTTTGATAAGAAGTTGGTTAATTTGATATGGCACAATTCACTTGCAAATTATTTTTTCAACAAGCATTAGCTAGCGGACTATAAAAACCCGCCTCTTTCTCGAAAGCGTCGTTGACAACGAGCTACAGCTAACCTTTGACGTTGCTACATAGTCAGCTACCAAATTAACTAGCTAGCTAGTTACTGTAGCTGAGGAAAAAAGTTCAATTTCTGAACAATGTTAGCCCCGTTTTCAGATAAAATACAATAACTTGATACTCACACGTTTAAGTCTAAAGTAAGCCTGTTTTGAAGGTGGTAACAAGTTGAAAAACTAGGTAGCGATGGCGCGAGATAACAATATTAGCCCGCGTATTTGGCACCAGCATGGCACGAGACCTGTCTCAAGCAAAGTGATAGCTATCAATTTAGCTACACCATGGTTCGTTGAGGTTTCAACGTTTTTATCAAAGACAGTACCTCTGTGTTTTTATGCTTGATTGTATGGAGGGTGATCAGCGCCAGTTCGAAAATGCAATGCTGATCAGTGCCAGTTCGAAAATGCAATGCTTAACCATTAAATAGGAATGTGAACATGATACATGCGTTTATGTTTTCATATCAGTGCGCATGGTTCATGCCACAATGAAATTGCAATATTCAAATAAAACCGAATACGGTAACAGACATTCTAAATTAAAATGATTAACAGAAAATGGCAAATGGTTAACAGAAAATAGTAAATGCAAAGTCAAAATGGAAAGTGGCTGTTTTCATTTCCCAACTAGCCAATTTAGCATTTTCTCCTTCATTTACATTTTCTAAGTGTATGCGAATTGTTCTTAGAGGCTTGAACCAAGGAGAGCAACACCACACCACCATGCAGTGATAGATCCTAGCCATGTCACACTCTCTGTGCATTGATTTTAGACTAGTGTAACTGACAGGGTTCGAACCTGGTGTACTCTACACCAGAAGAACATCTTAGCCTGCTAAGCCAAAGCCTAGGCAGTTTAGCTCCGGGTAGCTTGCGAAAATAATTTAGACAAATACACTGATACGGTAACTGAGTTTATCAGGAAGTGTATAGGAGATGTCGTACCCACTGTCACCATTAAAACCTACCCTAACCAGAAACCATGGATAGATGGCAGGGTTCGCGCGAAACTGAAAGCACGAACCACCGCATTTAACCATGGCAAGTTGACTAGGAATATGGCAGAATACAAACAGTATTCACTCCGCAAGGCAATCAAACAAACAAAATGTCAGTATAGAGACAAAGTGGAGTCGCAATTCAACGGCTCAGACACAAGACGTATGTGACAAGGTCTACAGACAATCACGGACTACAAAAGGAAAACCAGCCACGTCGTCGAGACCAACGTCTTCCTCCCGAACAAGCTAAACACCTTCTTTGCCCGCTTTGAGGATTACACAGTGCCACCGACGCGGCCCGCTACCAAGGACTGTGGGCTCTCCTTCTCCGTGGCCTACGTGAGTAAAACATTTAAATGTGTTAACCCTCGCAAGGCTGCCGGCCCCGACTGCATCCCCAGCCGCGTCCTCAGAGCATGCACATACCAGCTGGCTGGTGTGTTTACGGGCATATTCAATCTCTCCCTATCCCAGTCTGCTGTCCCCACATGCTTCAAGATGGCCACCATTGTTCCTGTACCCAGAAACGCATAGGTAACTGAACTAAATGACTATCGCCCCGTAGCACTCTCCTCTGTCATCATGAAGTGCTTTGAGAGACTAGTCAAGGATCATATCACTGTTATATCTAGCCTAGTTGTAGAAGAACGGACATCTGTACAGTTTCACATTGAACATCACTCTGTCGTTTAATGACATGTGCCACGCATTCTGACAACCCATTCATCCGTAACGCAGCACACTGTCGTAAACCATAACAACATACAGCACGTCGTACCATACATAACATTCCCCCCCCCTTTCCAAAACCAGGGACTGGTACCATATATAAAATGTCCATAGGGCAAGAACCTAGAGTGATACCTGTAAGAAATAAACATTAACCCTTAAACGGATGGACTCTCCAAACTAGCCAGTTCAGTCCATTAACCTGGAGGTTGACTAAGACACCTAACGGAGCCTAAGAATGAAAAGAGGTTAAGTAGTCCCCCAGATAAGCAGGGCGAGTTCGTGCCCGCATAGGCCTTTCTTCCACCGCCACCGCTTGTGGCTCTGGCCCTTGGGGAACCCACAGAGGCTGGGGCTCAGGTGGTAGTGGTGGAGGAGGTCCATCCGGTGGCGTCTCTGGCCTGCATGTCTGTTTTGTGTGCCTTCGTGTTCCTTGAGGGGCAGGGACTTTTCTGAGGCGGCTGGCGTGCCAGCGTGATCCATTGCTCATCATGAATGTGGCGGGCCCCAGTTGTCGACTGACCTGCAAGGGGTCCGACCAGAATGAGGCCATTTTGTTGCACCGCTGAGGCCGTCGGGCTCGGACCCAGTCTGACACTTGGATGATCGACTTCTTCACCCTGTGTGCCTTGTCAAAACGCTGTTTCATTGCTCTTTGGTGCCTGGTCACTGCCTGCTGTTCTTGGGTGCGCCTAGTCGCCGGTTCTGCTACTCTCTGTGTTCTGAGTCTGTCCAGTGGCAGTTCCATCTCACGACCTAGCATGAGGGATGCCGGGGAGACCTGTGTTGTTGTGTGTTTGCTTGCTCTGTAGTGCATTAGCGTTTGATTCAAAGCAGTTTGGAACGTGCACCCCTGGACCAGGTGCGCTCTGATGCCGTTCTTCAGCGTTTGGTTGAAGCGTTCCACCCCTCCGTTAGCTTGTGGGTTGTAGTAGGCCGTGCGGATGTGTTTGATTCCCTTGTTGCTGAGATATGAGGAGAACTCGGCAGAGGTTAGCTGGGGCCCATTGTCCGTGGTAAGGGTGAGGGGTAGGCCCCACCTTGTGAACAGGCTGTCTAGGATGTCCACGATGGCCTGTGCTGTGACAGTTCCGACAGGAACCACTTCTGGCCACTTAGAGTGGAGGTCATACACCACCACCAGGAAGCGCTGATGGTGAGGGACTGCGTGTCCATGGATCTCGCCACAGATGTCCAGTTGGATGTGCTCCCAGGGGTGGGACGGCCATGCGAGAGGCTGCAGGGGGGGTGGGGCGGACTGTCCTGTTTTCCCACTGAGGAGGCATGCAGCACAATCCCTGACCAGGGCTTCAATGTCGTGGTCGATGCCTGGCCACCACACAAGGTCTCGACATCGCTGTTTGACCTTGACTATGCCCAAGTGACCCTCGTGCGCCATGGATAGAACACGCGCACGCAGGCCACTCGGGACCACAGTGCAAAACCCTCGAGAGACACAGACTTCTTCCCAGCAAGAAAGTTCGTGCTTCACTCTGGCGAAAGTCGCCAGCTCTTCCGGCACATGTGCTGGCCATCCAGTGCGTATGTAGGTGCGCAGGGTAGACAGTGTGGGATCCTGTTCCGATGCTTGCTTCAGCTCCTCCAGTGAGACGACTGACTGAAGAGGAGCGTAGAGCATTTGTACAAGCTCTGTTTCGTTGTCGTCTGGCAAGACGGTCGGAGTAGGAGCGTCAAAGGAGCGTGAGAGGAGGTCTGCCACCACGTTATCCCTCCCCAGAGTGAACTTCAGCTGATAGTCATACTGTCTGAGGCGGTCGGCCCATCTGTGCAGCCGAAGTGGCTTGTGGCCAGTTCCTGATGCTGACAGTAGCGTTGTGAGGGACTGGTGGTCGGTTCGGAGTGTGAACAGACGGCCATATAGGTAGAGGTGCCACCTTTCGCACGCCCAGACACAGGCCAGTGCTTCTCGTTCGCCCACAGAGTACCGTTGTTCTGTGGGGCTCAGGGCCCTTGAGGCGAAGGCGACGGGCCTCTCAATGCCATTCTGCAGCTGTGAGAGGACAGCTCCTAGTGCTCCAGCTGAGGCGTCACATGTGACAATGGTGTGGCAGACGGGGTCAAAGTGAGCCAAGACTGGGGCTGTGGTGAGCTGGCTCTTCAGTGAGCGGACCGCGTCTGAGCAGGCTGCCGTCCAGGCCCATGGCTCATCCTTCTTGAGGAGCTGGCGAAGGGGCGCTGTGGTCTGAGAGTAGTGGGGCAGAAACCGGAGGTAGTAAGCTGTCATGCCCAAGAATGAGGCCACCTGAGAGGCTGAGGTCGGTTCCGGGATCCGGTGGACGGCTTCAATGTTCGACATGAGTGGGGCAATGCCTTTGGCCGACAGGCGGAAGCCCACAAACTCGACGGCTGGAGCTGCAAAGGTGCACTTTCCACCGTTAAGGGTCAGGTTGTTCCGCAGTAGAGCACTGAATACTCTGTGGAGTCGATAATCATGGATGTGGAGGTCAGGGCCGTGGTCCACGATGTCATCCAGATAGACCGCCACCCCAGGTATTCCAGCGAGGATGGTGCTCATCACCTTCTGGAAGCAGCTGGGGGCGGAGCTAAGTCCAAAAGGCATGCGTGTATATCTGAACACTCCAGCATGTGTGACAAAGGCCGTGAGGTCTCTGCTAGCTGCATGGAGGGGTACCTGAAGATAACCCTGACGAAGGTCAAGCTTCGTGAAGATCGTGGAGCCATGGAATTGTGCGGTCAGCTCCTCAGCTGTAGGCAAGGGGTACTTATCCGGGACAACGGCCTTGTTCACAGCACGGAGATCCACACAGGTCCGGATTCCACCTGACTTTTTGGTTGCAATGACCAAGTTTGAAATCCAGGGGGCAGCGTTGACTGGCTCAATGATGCCTGCATCCAACTGTGACTGGAGATCTTTTGTGACGTCATCACGCAGTGCAAAGGGAATGCACCGCAGGGGCTGCATGACTAGGGTCACTTCCGGATTCACTAGGGGCCTGTGAGTAAAGGCTGTGAGGCAGCCCAGTCCATCAAACAGAGTCGGCCAGTTCTGCTGCCATGTGCAGGTAACCTGGTAGATA